AATATTTTTCATCTTTTGGAAATAACTCTATCAAACCCCACACCAGATTTTATCTTGGGGACAACTTCCTGTCGCCCCCCCCCCCACAAAAAACCATACCTATCTATGGCTTATCACATTGACAAGTTTACAAAACTCTCTATCTTTAAGCCTTTGTTCTGAGAATGTGTGTTCTTTCCTGCCAGCATCCCCTTTTTCTCCTCGCCACTTCCCCTTTCCCACCGTGTGCTGACCCATTCCCCGCTGAGATGAGAGGTGAGCCCAAACAGTGTTGAGAGATACGCACTGGCTGCTTTAAGCTTTCACAGGCTGCTTTAATCTTTCACGCTGCGCGCCAACTCCACACGGTATCTCAGCTCTCATGCTGCGCTCCAGGTTCGCGCCGGGTTGGCTCTAACTCCACGCCCTAATCTGTGCGCCCCACGAGCAGTTCTGGCTCCACATGGTGGCTCAGCTCCACGTGGGTCTGGCTACCTGCTGCAGCCCCGGCTTCACGCGGTGCCCCAGCCCTGCACAGGGTCCCAGTGTGTCGAGTCCCGGTTGCGTCCCAGCCCCGCCACTGCCTCCGCCCTGCGTGCGTTTCCAGGGGCAGTTCCAGCCCCGCCCCGTGTGCTACATCGGGACGCTCGCCCCACCTTCACTCTGTGTACCCCACCCCCACACTGGGCGTGCTCTGCCGGTGGGCCGGACCAGTCCCCACCCCCAAACACAAGCACCCCTCTGACCACAAACACAGATAAATGGCAGCTCGGCGGCTCCACTCAGAGATGCTATTTTTTTACATTCTCAAACCATTTAATCAAGGTTAAATAAGCCGGCAATAGACAAGACTTTGGCTGATAAATGGGGAAGTGGCCACCTGGTAATTTTACTAGCCTTGTTTATCAATTAAAGCCTTCAGCAATCTCCTAAATGTTTACAACCAAAATTACGAGGTAATTATAAATTTCTTTTGCTGTAAACCATCTATGTTAAGCTTACTGCCTATATTATACTGTATTGTCACCGATCTCCTAAATGTTTAACAACTAAAATTAAGAGGTAATTATAAATTACTTTTGCTGGGAACCACTAGCTATTTTCCAAGACAAGGGTTGTATGATACATGCAAAACAAGACTAACACTGCAGCAGAAGCCAAACTTAAACCTTTCCCAGCCTATCTGCCTGCCCTGGCTCAGCCCTCCACCGAGCCATAATTAACTATATTCAACTGATATTAAATAACACCATAGCTGATTTCTCTCCTAAATAAAAAGATAAAAAAATTAAACAGGCCATCCTCCAAAAATCAGATGGCATTAGACATTTTAACAACATAAAGAGATACTTATATATGACATAAATGACATGTCAGTTCCTAAAATTCTCTGGACTTGTCCTCCTTATGGGAAGCCATTACTAAAGTTATAAATACCCTGTTGATTATATTTGACTCCTGCATACTTACTTAATTCTACAGATACTGTCTACTGTATACCAAATCTCAAACAAAAAGGCAAAATTTGACCTTCAAACTCCACAGAGACCTTCTTAATATGGCTTTTCATATTTTCAACAACAGAGATAACAGTGACACTTGGAGTTCTGAGACAGGTAAACCAACACAAGGTGGAGCTCCCCCCCCCCCCACTGTGGACCATGCCTCAAATGCAGCAAAAGACATTGGGCAAGAGAGTGCCCCATCCTGGCGTTCCTATGAGACCTTACCCCAGGGCTACTGGACTGTCCTAGCCAACAGAGTGGGTAAGCCATCCTAACTTCCAGCCCTCACAGGAAATGCCAACACTGCCAGATTCATCACCGACAGATCTGCTTAAACTTGCTGCTGAAGACTGACTGGGCTCAGGGCCAATAGCAGCCCACTTTAAGGTGTCTGTCTCAGAGTCCAAGTCCCACTAAAAGTCTCAGGTAAGACATTCTCTATACTTGTGGACATAGAGGCCATATTTACAGAGTTCTTCCTGAGTTTTCAGGCTGCTATAGTAAGTCCTCAATCTCTATGATGGGATATTGAGGGTAAATCTATGCCATTTACAAACAGGCTCTATTTTGTGCAGGTCCCAGACTGCTTCTTCCCAATCCACCCAGTGGTGCCAAATCTTCCCTCCACCACTCACTCTCCAGTCCTAAATCTTAAAAATGCTTTTTATTCCCTTGTGTTTATACAGGCTGACTCAGACACTGAGGCCTCAACAGCTTAACACCTGTTATCGCTAGTAAACCTCTCCTCAGTGATATAAACCACCCCCCCCTTCCTTATTCACCAATTTCTCAGGCAACCGTGGTAAGGCTGACAGATAAATTTTTCCTTCTCACCTTTATTTATACTTTTTCAGGATACATAAAAGCCTTTCCCACAACCAGAAAAACTGGTGATATACTTGCTAAAGTCCTGTTATAGCAAATCATTCCAAGGACTACAACCAGGTAACAGCGACCCATACCTGATATTCTTGGAAACCTCAACAGTGATCAGAGTTGCTAGACTGCCATCCTAGTTTCACATCACTCAGGCTAAGTGGTGCCCTTCCAGCCCTAGATCTAACCATCCTTTTGCCTACTCATCTCTGCCTTACCAAGCCCTCGCAGCCACAGTTCACAGGCTAAGTCATGTTTTGTTATCCAGTTTGGTTTCTAATTTCTTATTCTTTTCACAGCAAGACTCTTAACAGTATTTCCAAAAGACTCCAATGTCATGCATACTAGAGACAAGCCTTACCTACCTACCGTCTTAACTTTTACCCTTTCAGATGGGGGAGTAATCACCTCTTATAACTTCACTCCTCCTAACCCCACATTTTTCAGAATTCTGCCTTACCGTGGAAATGTTTCTACTTCAACATGGTCCTGATATAATGCCATATCAAAATCAAAAGCACTTTTCTTTCTACCTCACCTGGGCCCTAAATATGACAGTGCCATTCCTCCTCATAACATCTTGTCTCTTTGTTTTTCCAGTCTAACATACATGCATTCACCAGTGACGTTGTCCTGGCTAAAACACCTGGCACCAGCTTCTACATGGGCATCAACCGTCATCCTGTCGACTCCCCTAGACCCCAGTACAGTGCCCCCTTCCAGCAGGAAGCAGTAAAAAAAGAAATCTTTTCCCCTTTTCATAATAATAATCATAAGACAGGATATGAAAGAGTTTTGGCCTAGACATGACACTGTAGCCGGTAAAGCCTTAGACAGAACCAAGGAGCTCCTATCTCCCCCACCCCTAAGAATTTACCTCTGGTGCCAAAAGAATACCAATGGGCTACCTGTGCATCCCTAATGCCCCCTCAGGTTCCACCCCAAACCTAAGCTACATATGAAAGTTTCACTTCTTCCAAAAAGGAAGCACTTGTAAAATGGGAGCAGAGAGCAGCTTGGCTATTATAAATAACATTAAAAAGAAGCTAAGTATCTTGCATCAGGACAGTAGATAGGAAACACATCCTAAGAATCAACATGGCACTGTGCCCTCCACAGGCTCAAGAACCCACAAGTGAAAGGCTTTCAGAAGAGAGCCTCAGGGCACCCTGCTCAGGAATTGCTTTCCCATGATTCCTCTCATAGTGTTCAGGCTTCCAGCACTGGAGGCCTCTGGAAACGGGATCCGAGGAGTCCCGATTATTCTCAGGCATTATTCACGTAATGCCAATTTTTACAGGCATGAAGACTCTAAGAGTGGTGGGGTCAGAGGCTTCCACTCAGATTCCAGACGGCCTGGGAGGCCAGGCAATCTGTGAAGCTGGAAACCCCAGGAGTCAAAACAAAAAGCCAGGCACACGGAAAGACCGCAAACAACTGGCACTTGAGCGTCTGCCTGGCACGTGAGGTCACGAGCCCCATCCCTGGTACCAAAAGAGAAACCTCCGGCCACGGGTGAAGCCACTGCGAGTCAGGCCTGCAGAGCTGCAGCTGGCAACGCTATAGATGGAGGCCACCCACGCCTTTTGGGGCGCGGGTCTTGTTGCCTCATCTTTTCCCGGGTGCTGCACACGGGGCCCTATGATCTCCTACTTGCTCTGCCAGGCTTCAGCCTTGCTTTGGTCGTATTCTTTTTCATTCCCATATTTCTTCCTTTTGGGATGGGAATGTTTATGTGTCAGCACTGTTTTACGGCAGTCTCACAGCTAAGTTTGCCTTGCTTCACATCTCCGTCGCAGCTAACTCTTGTGTTCTGTAGCACAGTAGGACAACTATGGCAGGCAACAATAACTGAATATTTCAACACAGCCAGGAGAGAGGGTTTTGAAGGTTTCCTACACAAGGAAATGATCAAGGTCTGAGGTGATGAGGTGATGATTACTCTGCTATCACCGCATACTGCATACAGATATTAAGATGTTATACAGCACCTCATAAATATTTAATTACAACTCGTCAGTTAAAACATTTTTAAAAGTTTGAAATCTGACTTCCATTCATATGTAGACATGAATATTAAGGGGAAGCATCATACTGCTTTTCTGTTCTGAGACAGGGTCTCTCATGGTGTAATTCAGGCTGGCCTCCTGCCTCGGCCTCCATTACAGCTGTGCACCTGCGATTACAGTCAGGCTTTTACTCTATCTTTACTTCTTCCCATCACAGCGGTTGAATCCAGGGTCAGCTGAGCTACATCCCCGGTGTTTTTTAAGGCAAGGATCTCTCTACATTTCCTGGCTGGAAATGAACTTACGATCCTCCCGTCTCACTGTCCCGCACTGCTTGGATTACATGTGTTCGCCACCACACCTGGCTTTCAGGTGTTTTAGGAAAAGTAAGACTGTTCCTTTGGATTCATTTAAAAAGCAGGAGTTGTAGACTGTGTATTTAAAAACTATTCTGTGCCTGGCAAGTGCGAGATTGTGTTTGATCCCCAGTACAAAAAAAAAAAAAAAAAAAACAAACTGTTCTGAAATTATCTTTCCTCTAGAAAAAGAAATCCTCTTCTCATCAGTCCTCGCTCTTTTTACTAACGGAAACAAGGAGCAGGAGCACGGCCGGTGAAAGGGGGTGTCTTGCCTTCTTGCTTTCCCTGTCCTCCAAGGCCTCCAGGTCCCCTTTCAGCTTCTGGCTCTGCTGCAGGGCTGCGTCCCGGCACCTCACCGCTTGGGACAGCTCCTCCTCATTCTTCTCAAGAATGGATTTCACCTTAGTAGAAAAAAAAGAAGCGATCAACACCTCCGTACTGCACAGCAAACCAGTCATTAGAATAAGATGGTCATTAGAAACCAAACTGAAGACTTGGGTGTGTTTATCCACACATCAATTCTATACTAGCTGCTTGTCCCTTGAAGAGGAAGACCAAAATATCATGAACAAGCCTAATAATTAGTCAGTCTCCATGAAAACAGGATAGAAACAATAAGGTTGAGAAGCTGTGTGTAAAATGGGGAGAAAGTGGTTAGCACTGAACTTTTCCTTTTAAAAATGTAAATGTATTAATAAACTCTAAAAGGAATACTAATGTCCATAAAGCTGAGTTAGAGCAGAATAAATCCCAGTTAGAGCCTACATCTTTGAAACACTTGGGGTACGCCCATACTATTATTTCAGACACACTCTATATTTTGTACTGCTCCTTTTAAAATAGGTCCACAGCGTGTTGCAGAAATAGAATTCCGGAACATTAACAGTGGGATGTTACGTTAAGAAGTGTCGGTTTTCTCCACGTCTCTCACCTGCGCTCACCTGTGCGTGCAGGTATGAGAGCACGCATGGCTGGCAGTCATTCGATGATGCCACGCGGATATTCGTGTGACTGCCACAGCACTCAGGTACACCTCGCTCTATCAGCACCTTTTCCTTCTGTTACCTGTCTGCAGTTACTCCCTTCAAGCCTACTAATCTGTTCTCTACGGTTCTGTCCTTTAGAGAATCTGTTTTAACCGTTTCAATGTAACATTTTGAGTAGGCAATGCATTCATATTTTTTTTTATTTTTTATTTTTTTTTGTCTTTTTTCATTTTTATCGGTACCAAGGATTGAACTTACGACTGCCTGCTTGCAAGGCAGGTGCTTATGCCGCTGAGCTAAATCCCCAGCCCCATGCATTCATATTTTTAGAACAGTTTTACTGAGGTGTAACTGTCATTTAATAAGATATATAAACAAAATAGACACTTTGACATGTGCAAACTCTGAAGACCATAATAGTGACCATTTTCATTACACCCAAAATTTGCCCTTTTGTAATCTCCCCATTTTTCTGTTCCCCCACCTCCACCCAAAGGAACCACTGATGTTTTCTGTCACAGTCACTTGCATTTTCTAGAATTTTATATAAATATACATACCTCACAGGGTATGGACTGTTTTTGAATGATTTCACTCAGCATAATCGTTTTGAGATTCTCTATGTTGCGTGTTAGCAATGGCTCATTCCCTTCTGCTGCCCACCACCCACTGTCTATCTGGGTTTATCACAGTTTACCTAGCTGTTCACCCGCTGGGCACACACGCTGCTCCCGGTTCTAAGCCATCACAGTGGGGTGCTGTAAGCATGAATCTTCATGCGGTCTGATGCCTTCATTTACCCTCGGTAGACAGGGGGAAGGCGCCTCACCATTTAGGAGGTGGGTATCCTGCTGCACACCCCTTCCACAGCGGGGAAGGGCTGCAGGTGCCCTGCATCCCGACATGTGCTACGTCCCGTTTCACATTTCAGGCCTCTGACAGGGGCGTGGGTGCCTCCTGTCGAATGATGCTCCACACCCTCCACCAAGTCCTCACCCCCCAGCCCAGCTGTTCGGCCTGGTTTTTTGTCTAAGGCAGGACCTTACCATGTGCATCAGGGTGGCCTTGAATTCACCACACAGACCAGCCTGGCCCAGGACTCTCCGTGTTTCTGCCTCAGCCTTCTGAATGCAAGGCCACAGGTGTGCCCCACCACACCTGGCCCATATTATCACTTTTGGGGGTAAAACATCTGTTTTCAAATATTTTGCCTATTCTTCTGGATCAAAGATTTCCTTCTACTTTCTTAAGTTTTATGATACATCTGAGTTATTTTTTATATATGGTGTGGTTTCTAATCCCAATTATCCCAGCACTGTTTGTTGAAAAAAGCTTTCATGGCTGTTTTGTTGAAAATGTTCATAAATTAATTATTTTGAGCAGGTAGTAAATTTGTATTATTATTGTTTTTTGCTACTGGGGATCAAACTCAGAACTTTGCACTTACCAGGCAGGCTCTGTGTCACTGAGCTACATCCCCTTGCTGGTATATTTATTTTTTCAGACAGAACAGTTCAGGTGTCCCTTCCTTCTCCTCAAATACTGCCAATCTGTTGATGCATTTTAAAGATAGCCTGTGTATACTCAAGTACATATGTATATATTTTTTTATATTTTCATCTTTTTGTATGCAAATAGTAAAGTAGTATATCCTTCTAAATCTTGATGTTTAAATCAGAGGGGGAGAGGGGCACATGCAATATGGAATTCCGGTTGCTTCCAGTGTTCTTTAACTTTTAGTATGCCAGAAAGTAACCTTGTGAACATTTCCTACATACCAGACACCACGAATGCAGGAAAATGTCCTAGAACAGTGGTAGCGAACCTGTGCCATGTGTACTATTTTTCTTTTAAGACAGAAGATGTTAATGTCTGAGGTATTTTTATGAATTAAACCCCAGTACTCCGGTTTAACAGCAGTGTTGGTGCCTCGCGGGACATGGCTCGAGCTTGCGGTGTGGCTGTTCAGCCCCAAGAGGCCCCGAGGGCCGTGGCTCCGGCAGTGCCTGCGGGGTCCACGCTTTGCCGCACACTGTCCAGCTCTGCGCTGCGGGAAGTGGCCATTTCACCCATCAGCCCGGGTAAGGTCTTGTGCTTCGTCCTCAAATTCTTACATTTCTTTAAAATGTAACCTGTAGCATCTAAAATGCTTTCCCTTTTTCTGTGAGAATCCCATAATAGTGCAAAAGATGCTTAGTTATAGGTTCTAAAAATCTACTGGATTTTGTTCAAGGAATGTATGGAAGAGTATGGTTTTAACATTTTACTAGTGGTTTCTTATTACCAGTGTTTATACTATATAATCTATATATCTCTTCTCTCTAGATACACGTGTATGCCATTAACAAAAATGTTCACAGCAAGTATCTAACTCAGTTGCTTGAGAAGACAAGGCTTCCTGGTTTATAAAGCAAAGACAGAGGCTTTACTAAGTTTTCTCTGGAAAACATGTCCCAATGTTCAATTTCGTGGATGAACATATTTCTATTTTAAAATCAAATTTTATTCAATCACTTTAGCTCAAAAGCTAAGATCAGGTAGACTCTTTGAATTTTATATTTTTTCTATTTGTCTTTTTGAGACAGGGTTTCAAAATATAGTTCAGACTGGCCTTGAGCCCACTTTGTAGCCCAGACTGGATTTGAACTTGCAGCAATCCTCCTGCCTCAGCTTCCCAGTACTGGAACTATAGGTGTGAATCTTTTGAAGTTTTAAAAGACCAAAATTAGACTTAAAAACCTCTATCATTACAATTAAGCCCATTTTTCTATGTCCAAAATATGAATTATATGATTGCTGGAGTGGTGGTTTCAAGCTATTACATCAATTTTATTTCCTTCTTAATTACCCTTGTGAATTGTTTACAACTTTCTTCATTCTTGTACAAATCTGAATTTCCCTAAGATTTACTTTGTATTTGTCACTTACCAAATCCCGTTTAAAAAAATGTGATGACTCCTTACTAAGCAAGGGTCTTGAGGCGAGAATTTCTATTTTGCCCTCTAGTCTTCCCTCCATGGTTTTGATGGCATTCAAGAGAGTCTTGAGGGAGATCCTGGAGTCCCCGAGGTCTGCATAGGTCCTCACGGAGGGCGGAGTGGGTGCGAAGGTCACATGCCGCGTGGTGTTGGAAACCACACTGGGCAGACCGACCGCCGAGCACCGCTCCTTGACGCTGTTGCCGTGCGGCCGAGAGCTCTCGAGAGACCTGGACGATGCAGGCCTCTCTGGAGATTTCCTTTTTCTTGGAGGCATCACCAGGTAAAAACAGCCAAATCCATTAAATCCAGACCACAGAATTTCTCCAGGAGCCTTACTTTACTAGGAGAAAGGGTAGGATATTCTGGAGGAGGCCTCCATGAGAAACGTGTCTGGAGTGTGTTCCTTCGCTTTCAGAATGAACTATCTCACTGCAGAGTATGACCAGGGGAGAGACAGCCCTGACACCAAGGCCCAGCTCACGCGGGAGCCCACTTCCTGAGTGTGGCCTCACCACCAGTCAGCAGGGCCAGCGGGTGGAACCCTCAGACTGTTCCAGCCAGGGGCAGATTCCAGTGCCTTGGTTACCAGATGTGTGTGGACACATGTCACAGATGCGGAGGTGACACACGCACACACCGAGAGCCCAGGACTTAAAGATTAGTCTACTTACACACAGGGTGCACACGTAATCCTGAAGTGACTTTCTCTGGGGACACCACGTTCCTGGGTGAAGTCCTCCATGAACTGTCTTACATACTTTGCTTAAACACTTTTCTATATTCTCCTGCCATTGTGTTAAGTCACTCACACAGGTTTTCAGCCTCAACAGCCACTGTGCTGAATAAACACCTTTCCTACGAGTCCCTCTTTTGGGTGAGCTTGTCTATTACAGGCACAGCTTGTTGGCACTGAGTTCTGAGTTTGCCTATAATTGAAAAAACAAAGGTACTTATTCCTCATATCTGCTAAGATTTTTAAGGTTTGAATTAAAAAACCTGGGATTGGGATTTAGCTCAGCAGCATAAGCACCTGCCTGGCAAGCATGAGGTTATGAGTTCGATCCCCAGTACCACAAAGAAAGAAAGAAAGAACCATTCTTTTATGAAGGTATTTTTCAGTGCCTTCAATCACAACAACATTCCCTATGCATATTTTCTGAAAGATATAACTTTCTATTTAGAATAAAGTGTATTGAATATATCCCTAAAAACCTTTTTAGAAGCAAACATGTCCTGATTCTGCTTCACGTATCTAATTCTGCGCTGAATATTTTTATGGGTTGCTCTATGTTTTGGCAGAATCCTGAGACACTAGCTTAACAGATGACTGTGGCATAGACCTGGGAGGACACCCACAGCAGGGCTCTTGCCTGCTGGCCCAGCACTCAGAGGCCGAGAGGACCACAAGCTCCAGCTCAGCTTGGACAATTGTGGGACCTGTGAAGGCGCGGGCTCAAAGCAAAAACTAACAAGGGCAGGGAACGTAGCTCAGTGTGAAGGCCCAGGGTTCCATCTCCAGTGAGCGGGACAGGAAAGAGGGGAGAGTCAGACAGAGAGAAGAGAGGGGCTATACTCTTCCTTCTCATACTACGCAGGAAGGTGGCGAGAAAGGCATCAATTTCTTAAAAACTAAACAATGCAGTAGCCATCAACAGCAACATACTTCCACAGCTGTTAGTCACACCTGAACGTATTTGGCCTCAAGCGTCTTACTCAACTTGCGTAGATGGTCATTCTGTAAGTTGGTTTCAGCAAGAGAATGTAGTTGTTCTTCTAGCTGTTTAACTTTTACCTAGACAAAGAATATAAAAGTAATACAATAAGCCTCCTATATTTCAAAGGAAGGATGTTCTGAGATTTACAAAAACTTTATAGAAACATTTGAAATTTGCAAACAAAAATCCTAAGTTTTTCTAATCAAAGAATTCTACTTCAACTCTACTATTAAAAGTAGGCTACAGCAATTTGGAAGTGCTGAGATAACTCATTTAGTTTTTGCTCCTTATGGAAAATACAGCTGGGCATGACTGATGAATGCAAGAGTGAAACCGTACAGTTGATATATTTCAATTTTAAATGAATTATGGTACCTGGCATTCATAAACCTTTCTGAATATTGGAAATTAGAACTATTGACACACAAGACAGAGAGAGTCTTGTGTTTTACAACACAGAATTAGAAAATTTGGATAAATGAAATTGACATGTTGAGTAACATTTTAAAACTACCTCATGGAGCTCACTACTCATAGTTTTCTCCTTAAGGAAAATTACCAATTTGTGCCACAAAATCATTACTATATATCCACAGATTCTGTATTTTCCCACATTTTCTTCCTCTCATCCTCAACCTTCTCATACCGAATGATGATTTCTGTTACTAGGTCCCTGACCAGGGAAACTTCCACCCAAACTTTTTTCCCTTACGAATGTTAGTTTTTCTCCTCTTGATATCCTGTTACCTATCTGTAGCACGCAAAGACCTCTCTGGCTGTTGCTACTGGACATTTTCAGGAACTGTAGGACCTGAGCGGCTGTCAGGTTGTTTTGCAGGGCTGCAGGAAAGCCCAGCTTAGCTCAGACCTCGCCTGTTCCATCAGCCGCACCTTCCTTCTCTCTCTGTCTTGGTCTCTGTAGCTCCTTTTCCACAGGACAGAGTGAAAATGGGCTGTGGCTCCCCAAAGCATCAATGAAAAGTAATCTTGGGCAAAAGTGGGAATGGTATTCTCATTTTAAACAAACCGCTGTGAACCCACAGAACCTAGGGAGAAAACGGACCGCGCTGCATTAGCAGCGGTGGTGAAGCTTGCAGAGCTTTCAGTAACAGTCCGCAGGGCACGCGTGCCAGAGGCTCACAGCAGCGGACTAGACTCCTTGGTGTGCCTCTCTTCAAGTCCTAGTCCAGGTCTTCCTCAGCAAACTCACAGCCTGGCCAGACGGTGGCCACCAAGCCCGAGCGGGCTGGGCTTCACCCCGTTTAGTCCCGAGGCCCCCAGGGTGCCCTACCCTGGGGTCAGCCGGGAGTCTGACAAGTGCGGAAGGGCAGGACTTCTCCCCGAAGGCTCTGCCTCATCGCTTTGGGCTGGGATTCCAGGCACAGGGATCTTCCCTCTTCTAGTTTATGTTGTTATTCTTTCTAGCAATGGGCTATAAAAATCCATCAAAAAGACAGCACGGGCTCTCTATTCTCCGAGTGACCATGCAGGAATAACTCATCAGGCTTCTGATCATCTCTGCATGGGCTTTGGTTTCGGCATCACCTACTGGCACAGACGGGAACAGAAGTGCCCAGATGTCACCGAGGTGACAAACTTAGAGCAAGTCAGAGATTAAACGATTAGTAAACGACAGCCGGGTCTTCTTAAAAAAAAAAAATCAACCAGTATTTGGTTTGACAATTAATATTTAAAATTCAGCCAATAAAAACCGAAAAGTAAGCCTCATACCTGGAGCTGTCCCTTTTCATAGGCCAGTTTGTTCTTGCTCTCGGTAATTTTTCCCAAGGCTTTTTCCACCTTTTGCTGGGCGAGCTAATAAGGTAAACACAGGGGTCAGAACTCCCGGCACAGGAAGAAACAGCCATCTTCCTTGTACAGCAAGTGCTCGCACCCGAACGGCCTCTGTCGCCTCCCTTAGTGACCCTGCCGCTGCCATTCCCACTTCCTGGCCCTCTGCCTCGCGGGCTTTGGGTGGCTAACTGGTCACGGCGCTAACGGCGACAGGCATGGACCCTCGGAGCCTGCTTTCTACACTGGTTCTTTCCATAGCTGTATTCCTTTGCAGCTGTGACTCAGCCAGATGTGATGTGGTGTGTGAGGGGCGACAGAGTTTGAGTTCCACACAGTTCTCCAAAAACACAGGAGCTGAAAGTGACCACTACTCAGCTGCTACAGGAAAGGCCTGAAAAAATTCTCTAAAGGAACAAAAGAAATGTGTATTGGGGACGAGCTCAGTGTTTGATAAGGCACTCAAGCAGGGTTAGCTGGGACATTATGGGAAGTTCTGTATCCCATTAAATTACATGTCTTCGCTGTTAAAATATCCTTTAGTAATCACAATTCTTTTTCACATAGTTTTCCATACATATATAAAAATGTATGAGTGTATACCTTTAATTAAATTTTGATTTCACTGGGTCAGGAATATAGCTCAATAGCACAGCTCCTGCCCGGTAAGCATGAGGTCCTGAGTTCAATTTCTGGTACAAAAAACTGTGGTCTTTCTGATATTTATTATGTGAGGCCACTGTTAGTGACAGAATACAGAACTCGCCACCCGCACTGTCGATGACACTGTCCTGTCTTAATAACAAGGAGGGCTGGTATTTGCCGTCTGCCCCAGTGATCTCCAGGAACCAAGAGTGGGGACACCAGACACAAAGAGTGACGGAGCGCATGACATCTGTCACCCCCAGGCTGACGGGCAGCACAGGGACCGCCGCAGGAAGGAAATCCTGGCTCAGTCTCATTCGTGTTGGTGAACAACCTGTACCGACATAAGCCCTACCCCTGGCTTACTCAGGTTAATCTGTGCATAATAAGATGGGTGCTCCTTAAGGAATTTCAAACCCAAGTATCAGCCTTTTGCTTGATGTCACCTCGGGCCACGTGATGGAAAGGAATCCGCATACGCAGGCACACTGCTCTCCGCAGGACAGCGTCTCTGTCCCCGAAGCAGTGGTAGCTCTCTTCCGTCACCTCTTTGTAGTGCATTTTATTTCGATGCTCTACAAAGTGATTTCGATGATTTTGAAATAGTTATTATGTGTTTTTCCCACTAAGGGAAAGTGGACTCTTTTTTTTGGTTTTGGTTTTTTAAGATACTATGCAGTTCAAGCCTTGAACTCACTGCTTAGCTCAGGGTGGCCACAAGCTTGTGGTGATCTTCCTGCCTCAGCCTCCCAGGGCTACGATTACAAGAGTGCACCCCTGGGCCCCGCTAGGGGCGTGTGTGTGTAAGAGCACTCAGAACAGTAAAACATTGCTTTTGAAATGACCCAAGGGAAATACAGACTGTTATCAACAGGAGGTCAGTGAGAACACATTGTCATAAAATTACTTATTACAGTTCTGACTGAGGAAGACACAGCCCCTTCCTATAGTGTGCTCTGTTTTAGACATGACTGCAACAGTCCAGTTTAATAATGTACATAGGTTTTATCAGTTGTAACAGGCTCTGAGGTGAGGGTTCCACCAGGACATGTTCCGACCGTCTTCCTTCCCCCACTCCGTCCTCCCCGCGCCCCGCCAGGGCTCTTCCCTCAGCTTTCCTGTCGCCTCTCCTTTTCCCTCTAACTTCCCCATCTATGAAGGAAAATGTGCACTATGACTTTCTGAGGCTGGCTGATTTCACCTAACACGACGGGGCCCTCTTTATATTTTCATCAAGTCCTCAGCAGAAACAACGAAAATCAAAAGGACGGCCAAACATGCCACAGAGCAAAGCTACAACACTCAAAGCTTAGTTACTTACAACGTAGTTCCAGGTTCTAGAAATTAAGGCGTCCCTACGTGCTGTAAAGTGTAGGTACAGGATGCTAAAAACAAACAAACAAAAAGCCAGAACTAGATTTAACCTAATCCTGCTGGCATTAACAAATGTTAAACATTCACAGACAACTTTGCTTATCTGCTTATCTTAAAAGTGGAAAGACTGTTCATTTGTTTGTTGGAGTAAGGCAGTCTGGGGCTCTTATAAAAGGTGTTCAGAGGGCTGAGGACTCAGCTCAGCGGCATGAGCGCTGCCTGCCAAGTGTGAGGTCACGAGTTGGATCCCCAGTACAAAAAAAGAATAGTCACAAAAGTGTTCAGGAGTTTTAAAAAACAATAGCATATTTTTTCCTCAATAAAATTTCTCCTTTAGGCAAAGGCATAAAGCAATTCTATTAATCTGTTAAATAAACTTTTAAACAATAATTTCTTCTTTTGGTCAACAGAGAATGCTAATGCAGTGAATGAAGCAGTAAACAAAATCAAACGGACAGTGTTTGACCAGGGTCACTAAGCTAAGGGTAAGCGGAGAGAACTGTTACCAGCTGCCAGGGAAAGTGGGCGGGCGACATTTAAATTACTGTTTACAGACATAAACAGACCCTGTGCTTTAGTCCCCAGAGGACCAGACATTAGAAGGCACTTAAATGAATGAAAATCTTGGGTTCCAATTGGTGGAAAACAGAACTGAGACTAGCCTCTGCAAACCACGGTGAAGGCAGCTAACAGGGAAACAATAAAGAAGGCCAGTGTTAACAAACTTGGCCAGCTCCCAAGCACAAGGCCACCTCTCAGAAGAGGAAGAAGGGTCTGCAGCGCTGCAGCCCCAGCTCACTGGGCAGGGCTGGACCCTGTCGGGGCAGTGCCCAGCGAAGGACGTGAGGCCGTGGGGGGTCTGGGAAGGGGCCTGGGGACCCTGCCCTTTCCTGTCCCTGCCTTTGCTGTCTGCTGGCCCTGAGGCGAGCAGCTCCCGGGCCATGCGGCTGTGCCCGGAGGCCAGGGAGACCTTGCCTGCTGCTTTAGTTGATTATCTCAGGTATTTAATCTGGGGACTGGAAGCGAACACAAACAGCCACGTAACACTCTCAAAGTAATGCCTTCTTTTTTCCATCTTCCTATTCCTAGGGACAGTAATGCCATGCCACCGAGGCAGGTCCCAGCTCTGAAGTAATGTTTGAGCTGATGACACAGCTGTCTGAAGAACCTAGAAAATCAGTGAGCTCCCTGGTGGAGTTACTTTGCCGGGAGGTGAGAGGAGTTTTATCCCAAGTGGGACACAGGTCTGGTAGGTGGACCCAAGCGTGACACTTGCACAGGTGTACACAGAGTGAACGTTGTCCTGAAGAAACAACGCGTTTCATCAGTGTTTAATTCCAAGTCACTCAGGTCCGAGCTGCACAGGGAATCATATTTGTTTGGGGCCACTATTTAGTATGTTCAAAACCAGAAAGAACTGGGAAAGAGTCTCACTCGGCTGAAGAAAGAAATGGCCATATTCCTCCCTGGGGTCAGCTCTCCCTGTGGCCTCACGAAGGGCAGAAGATACAGCTAAAACTAGGAAATGTAGGAAGAGAGAATGTCCGCCCCGTGTGCTGCCTGCTAGGCCCTGCAAGGGGCACCGCTCGGAACAGACAGTGCTGGTGGTGTGAGCCGCCCACATTCCTGTCTGTCCACTGTGGGCACCGTGGACAGTGCTGGCCCGGGAGCCTCATGGGGTGGCAAAGGCTAAAGCAACCTCAGGTCTGCCTGGGATCCTCGAGGTCATCACCCCCGGGTGCTGCGGGAAGTGGGGCGTCCTCTTGCCCCTGCCTGCAGACCTCACCCAGGCCTCAGGACAGACAGAGCCTGGGCAGAGCTCCAGTCCTTGAAGGCATTCCTGTGACACTGCTCAGGTGTGCACCTCCAAAACCCTACAAGAGTTTATTCCAGAGGACTCGCCTTAGGAATTCCAAGTGTTAACTCGGGGAGAAGGAAAATACGCCACGGTGCTGGATGGAGGCAGGCTTAGTGCCGCTGGTAAATCAAAACATTAAAACCAAGTCCTGGACGCCCAGCCTCCTTCGGCAGACACACAGAGCCGACTGAACACCAGGCTGGTTGGGCAGAGGCAGAACTGCAAACCAGAACCGAGGCAGGCTGCAGACTTCCGTCCAGAGGCAGGGCGAGCTTTGGGATCCCGCGGGGATCTGTCACGTCCCCGCAGGGTAAACCCGAGCCCCTGCGTGAGTGGATCCGGGAAAGAATCACGCAGATGGAGGTGCAGCCTTCGGCAGGCACCCAGACTAGACGGCAGGGTCAGCCCCCCAGGGCCCGGGCCGGGCCGAGGGCTTCACCCTGGGGCGGGGGCCCTGCCAGCGCAGCTGTCAATCCGGCAGGCGCACCTGCCTCCCCGCAGGAGCAGCCCCTACTCGCTGCGCCTGGGTAGCCAGTTCTCAGCCAGCTTCGCAGTAACCGGACTCTCTTCATTTCAACAGATTAAGAAACTGAGGCTCTGAAAGGGTAAAGATCCTATCTGAGGTCGTAACCAAAATGGGAACTCAGTCTGGTTTAAAAGCCATGGAGATGTAAGATGTAGACTAGTTTGTGCAATTCTTCACAGCTGAAATATCGAGCAATTTAGGGCAGGGTTTCAAAGGATTTAGCTGAGATTAAGACTCTGATCTCTGTTAGTTCATCAAAAAGAACGGTTTGTGCTTTCACTGTTTATTATTTTTTCCTGCTTATTTCTTGGAATCTGAGCAAACACTTTGAAGATAACAAAATGCAATATTGTTAATCTATTATGTTGTTTTGAATGATAATCTTTTTTTCTCTTTTTATTAAAAAAAGACATCAAGGTCTTCTGTGAAATTTTCAACAACTGTGCATGTAACACAAGCAGTAACTAATTTTTTTCAAGTATTAAAACACACAGGAAAATTACTAGCTTCTCAGACGAATGATCATTTCTTTAAAACTCTCCCCTTCTCTCGAAAACATTGTAAGATTTTTAACTTGATTTGTCAGACAGCTTTTAGGAATCAGACACAGTGCTAACTGCCTACTACAGGGAACTGACAGGAGAAAAACAGCCCAGTGTGCTGCTCACAAGTGGTGGGGAAAGGAACACCTTAACACATCGGATCAATTTTTGCTTTTCAGGACCAAAGACCATCCGGTAGGAGCCATTCGGTGGCTGCCTCAGAGTCTTGCTTTCCTCGTCTCCTCTGGTTTGAACACTGAGGGGAGCTCTGCCGTGGTTATGAGTTATGTATGGTAACACATGCAAAGGGCTTATGATCACACAAACAAAACCTCTCTGGACGCTGGCTTTTTACAAAACTCATGAGTTCACTCCTTCCTTGGACTGACCTTTTCATACCCACCCCATGGAAATCGGGAGCGACCTGCTGCAGTCCCAGGGACGCCATCTGATCCGAGAGGTGCTTATTTTCTTCCACTAGCGTCTGCAGATTTTCATTGAGGGTATTTACATCTACCTTTGAAAAATAAAAGGTACAAAATTATTTGTCAGACCAAATTACATCACCTCATTCTCAGAATGACAGTTGCAACTGTAAACTGGAATGCAGTGTGTATATGCGGCCCCCACCTGCCCTGCAGTGTGTGTATGCGCACCCTGCCTGCAGGGTGGGCCTCCGGTGAGGATGGTAACTCTAATGCTCTCTCTTTTTTTTTTTTTTTAAGTTTTTATCGATACCAGGGATCGAACTCACAACCGCCTGCTTGCAAGGCAGGGCTTATGCCACTGAGCTAAATCCCCAGCTCCCGAGGCTGGTAACTCTAATGCTCTCTCTTTTTTTTTTTTCAGATTCTCTAGCTGTTTTCAGCTGGATACTGCAACATACAGACTCAGCCTTAATAATGGTGGAACCTGTTATGGAACTTGATCTTTGTTAAAATAGCAATTAAAGTTATGACTACTGATATAAAAATTCACCACAAAACACTGACACAATCAATGCAGTGATATACAAAAAGGTATAAGAGCTAAGTACAGTTTACATGTGTAAAGTGTGAGTCTTCACTATCAATCAGTATAACACACCACACCCTGCAGCAGACTTTATCTCTAGATTACTAATTTCTAGTAGGACACAGACATATTGTGGTGTGGACTGGGAATAATGTCTCCAAGGCCCCCAGGTCCTGGGGCTTGGCTGCCAGCTGATGGGCTTCAGGGAGGTCAGTACACCACGCAGCATCAGTGGATTTGTCCACTGGCGCGTCCACAGCTGGTGGGTTATTTGGAGGTGGACTTGGGTGGGGGCTGTGGTCATGGGGCGTGTTAGCTTGCTCCAAGACCCCCTCTCTGTCACTCTGTCTCCTCTCTGCTCCATCACATGCTCCCCACCATGATGCTGTGTCTCATAATGTTGGGCCAGAGGCAACAGTCATGTGACCATGCACCTCTCTATAAAAAACTATAAACTCTGAAAATGTAAATGGAAGAGGACATCAGAAAATGGGAAGAAACCATGTCTTTGGATATAGATCAGGTAGAATTAAAATATTCAAAATGGCCATACTGCCCAAACTGATACACAGATTTAATGCGGACTCAATCGTACTATCAACAGCATTCCTCACAGAGCTGGCAAAACAGTCAGAAGAGACAGAGTAGAGAAAGCAACTGTCAGCAATAAGAGCAAAGCAGGGGGCATCACAACCCCAGGTTTCAAGTTAATTACAAAGCTACAGTGATAGAAACAGTGTGGTGCTGGCACAAACACAGATCTATGGATCAGTGAGGCAGAAGAGAAGATGCAGAAATAACTCCAGGCACATCAACCATCTAATATTTGACAAAGGAGCCAAAAACAGAAAAACAGCCCCTTTAATAAATAAAGTGAGGGCAAGTGCCTATACACATGTAAAGGATGAACCTAGACCCATCTCACTCACCATGTTCTAAAATAAACTATTAAAGAGGAATAATCTGGTGGAAGATAAAATATATAAACCTGTTGAAGACACAAGCATAAGCCAGGACTTTCTGAATAGAACCTCAACTGAACAAGAAATAACACTGACAACAGAGTGAGGAAGCAATCCATAGAGGGAGAAGAAGAGCTGCTAGCCATCCCCTGGACAGAGGACCAACACCTACACTATATAAGGAACTCAAAAAAGTTAGATCCTTGAAATGAAAGACCCAATTAAAAAACGACACTTCTCAGATGAAGTACAAATGATCAATAAATACACCAAAAAGAGCTCAGTATCTCTGTCACTCCCCAGAAGAACAGCCATCATCTAAAAACCAACAGCAAATGTTAGCAAGGCGGAGGGAAAGGAACCCTTATAAACTGCTGGTGGGAATGCACATGAGCACAACACAATGGAAATCAGTGTGGGGAGCCCTCAAAAAAATAAAAATAGAAATTCCACTGGACCCAGCTATTTCACTTTGGGTTTCTTTCCAAAAGACTCAAAGACATCTCATTTACAGTGACAATTCACATGCATAATGTTTACAGCAGCACAACCCACACTGGCTAAATCTTGGAAGCAGCCTCTATGTCCATCAGCAGATGAATGGGTACAGAAAATGCAGGATTTACACACAGTGGAGTACTATTCTGCCATAAGGAAGCATAAATTTGAGGTATCTATAGGAAAACGAACACATTTTGAGACCATAATGTTAAGTGAGATAAATCAGACACACATAGTTCTTATATGAGAAACTCAACATATAAATATATTAAAGAGCAAATGAAAGGATAATAGGAAACAGGAAGGTAGATCTTTTGCAAATGAGAAAGGAACCAAGTGATGGTGTGGGGGACACAGAAACGTAATTAAAACGGATGGAAAGACCTTAAAAACATTACACTGAACTGGAAGAGGCCAGACACAAAGGATCATATTTTATGTGATTCTGTTTACTTGAAATACCCAAAATACGTAAATTCATGAAGAACAAATGTGTATTGGTGGCGGTCATAGGCGAGGAGGAGGAAGGAACGAAGGGTGGTTTTTTAGTGGTACAGTCTTCTTTTAGAATGATAAAAATGTTTTGGTAGCACACGCCTGTAATCCCAGCACTTGTGAGTTTGAGGCCAGTCTGGGCTGCGTAGTGAGTTCAAGGCCAATCTGGAGTACATAATGAGATGTTGTCTCAAAAATTTAAAAAAAAAAAACAACACATGACCTAAACCTCAGATTTACTTTGACTCAAGAGTCAGTTGCTGGTCAGCTGGCGCCAAGGCAGAAACACAAGGGGCCAGGGCCCGGACAGAGGGCAGCTGCTCATGTCATGTGAACCAGGAGCGGAGATCAGGGCGGGGCAGGGAGGAGAGCCGCCCTCCCTCCCAGGCGGCCCAGTCTCCTCCTCCATCCATCCCACTGCCTGAGAGCACGCCCTGGTGCGGGGCTCATCTGCGGAGGAATCCACGGAGGAGCAGCTCACCCCCATAATCCAGTTGCCTTCCACTCCCCTGAGGGTCTTTCAGATCCACGGCAGCACCCAGTTATTCACCCTAGATGGTTAATTTTACACTACGTGACTTTTACCTCCATTAAAAATGGGCCACAATGGAGTGCGTGACGCGCACTAGGCTGAGCATTTAGAAATGCGGCAGCGCAGGCACCGGCGCCTGGAGACAGCAACTCCCGCACGCGGCCGGTGACCGCAGAAGGGTGCAGCGACTTCGCGAAGGGTCTGCAGCGTCCCAGCGGGACGGGGTCACCCACCTGCCACGGTGCAGCCCTGAGAGCCCCCGTACCTGAAAACAGCATTACTGAATTACTTACACCCACAGGGGTAAGGGTCCGAATGCCCACCCATCAGCTGACAGGTTTTACAGTGCACTAGGACAACCAGATGGCACCAAAAAGTGATACGAAACTGAACCACACCACACATGACACATCAACATTAAGTTAAAAAGGAGCCAAGACCCAATATAAAACCGCAACGCTTCTAGAGGTAGTGAAGAAAACCTTTACGGTAAACTCAGGTTAGGCAAAATTTCTTAGAGATGTACAAGAAGTACGATGGACCTATGACAGGCAAATTGCTAATCAGGCTTCATAAAAATGAAAAACTACAAAAAAAGAAAAAGAAAAAAGTCTACTCTTCAAATGCAAATGAAAAGGTTTAAAATGTAGCAAGATGCTCATAAAACATGTACACACACACACACACACACACACACACACACAGGTGAAATAGTTTTACTAGCCAGGGATTTAGCTCAGCAGTGTAAGCGCCTGCCTGGAAAGTGCAAGGTCGTGAGTTTGATCCCCAGTACCAAAACCCCCCAGATAAACCACCACTACCAACAACAAAAAACTCAATAAGAAAATAACTGAATTAAAAATGGTCTGAGGAAATGATCTGCTCACATCAATATTTTGTTACAAACTGAAATAAAAGCATCTAAAGAGGAAGATTATATTCCTCAGAAAAGTGAACAAAGAGATGATGGGGCTCCCCGTCTCAAGCAGATTCCAGCTGGCGTGCACAGACAATGAAAATGCACATGAAGGTGACACCAGCTCCCAGGGGATCCCAGTAATCACCAGAAGGCAACTGGCGGTGTTTCATTAGGGGATGCCCAGAAGAACAGGCAGACAGGAAGGCGGAGAGGCAGTTCCGGGAGGGTCTCACACCGAAGACAGCAAACAGGCTCTACAGGATTTGGTTAAGTGCAATTCTGATACAGAAGCAGCACTGAGCAGCTTACAATTTGATGGAAAGGCAGCCAGAGAGGAACTGTTTAGACAGAGGAGGGGTGCAGAAAGTCTGAACAAGGGCTGAAGGCCTATGGGAAAGATATTCATTTGATTCAGGCTAGCAATTCTAAACAAGATCACTTGGGGAACGTGTAGCACTCTGTTATATGTGCAAAAAATCTGCATGGCAGGTTTTATTTGCTCAGCAAATGTGATAAAAAAAAAAAAAGAATCATAACCTTCACCCAGGTGTAACCGACTATACACGGAGCATCTACTGGAAGAAAGTGACAGAACGACTTCCGGTCACGCACCATCCCCTGCCCAGACCTCCAGCAGCAGCAACGCCAGTCTGAGCAGGAGGTCGGCCTGTGGGCTCCCCGGCCGGTGGCACCCAACGGAGCAGGTAAGGCAGAAACGGAGGAGGAGAGAAAGGAGAAGGGCTGATGCTAGTGGGCCAACAGATGGACCTAAGAGACCGCCTCACCCAGAGACAGACACCAGTGGCCACCAAGCAGAAACCTGACCACTGGCCCAAAACCTGCTCATGTGACTGCGAGGAATGAAAGTGATTTTGATGAAAAAAGTGAGAGAGGAAGATGAAGCATGCCTTCCCGTGAGACAGGCTCCACCACGGAGATGGGAGAGGAGATCAGCAAGAAGAGGGACCACACTGTCTCATAAGCTGCCAGCGCACAGGCTGGAAACCAGAAGAGCACCCTCCAAGCCCGTAAGCACCCGGCTGATTCAGAGGGCTCGGGGTGAGATGACAGCACCCGAGGAGGAAGAAGAGCTCGATGCCTGTGCTGTCCGAGTGACTCTGCAGGCCCGGGCTGGCGGTCTGGGCATCCACCTGGAGGACGGCAGTGTGCACTGTGGCAACTGTGGGGGATTCCTCCTGTCTTGTTTTAGAAATCCAACGCTTTGTTCTGTTTTACTGTTTTGTTTTATCCCTGTGTCTGAGGGATAAATTGGTACAAACTTGAGAACATAATATTAAGTGAAATAAATCAAACAAGCTCAAACATTGCATGGTTTCTCTTTAATGAAAAAAAATATAGGAAAACATAGGGGAAATATTTCAAGACATGGGTGTTATTTATATTACTAGTTTATCTCAGTTCACTGAAAAGAAATATTTGTGTTACTGTTTCTTTTTTGTAAGAATCCTGCACTCTGAATAACTCCTTTGAAGACAGTGATACACAGTGTAATAACTACTGTTATTTTATGAAACTTTAATTTTCATAAAATTAACAAAATACACTGGTGTAGGCAAAGACATTTCAGGAGCACCCCAGAGTCACAAGCAACAAAAGTAAAAACAGATAACTGGATTACATCACACTAAGTGGCTTTGGTACAGCAAAGAAATATAGCAGGAGGTAAGGAATAACCCACAGACTAGGAGGGAACATTGCAAACTATCTGACAAGGGATTCATATCCCGAATATAAAAGGAATTCAAAACACTGATCCAAAAAGTCCAATTAAAAAAGGCTAAAGACACTTCTCAACAGCAACAAAAGACCTACAGATGGCCAACAAGTACATATGAAATAATGTGAAGTCAGGTGTGGTGGCACACGCCGTAACTCCAGCTCTCAGGAGGCTGAGGCAGGAGCATCACTCTGAGTTCAAAGCCAGCCTGAACTACATAGCAAGACCAATTTTCAAAAAAACCAACTAACAATAACAATAAAAAGCTCAATCTCACTAATCAGGGAAATGCAAATCAAAACTACAAGTTATGATTTTGCTCAAGTTATAGTGGTTATCATCAGTTATTGTCAAAAAGACCAAAAAAAAAAAAAAAAAAACCCACTGGCAAGGACACAGAGAAAGCAGAGCCCTTCCGCAGCGCTGGTGGGAATGTGAACTGGTGCAGTCCCCGGGGAAAAGCTAGGAAGCTTCCCTAAAAACCAGAAATAGGAAAACTGCTTTGAAAGCTAGAAGTAGAAGTGCCACGCGCTCCGCCGTCCACGGCTGGGCACACATCCAAAGGCGGTGTGATCGTCACAGCAGACTCCTGCCCTCCATGTCCCTGCGTCCTCGTCAAGGTAAGGCGGGGATCAGCCCTGACCTCGGCAGCGGATGGGCACACAGAGAACCCGCAGTGGGTAAATGCAGTGAAATACTATCCAGCCATGCAAAGAGTGGAGTCCTGCGATCTGCAGCGACGCGGGCGGACCTGGCATCAGCTGTGCTAAATGAAATCAGCCGGAGAATGTGTGGCGAGTCCCACGCGTTCGCAGCCCTAGAAGGACAGGGTGAAACAGTGGTCCCCAGACACCGGGAACAGTCACAGACATGGTGAGCGGCCTGCGGTTTTCTAGAGTGGGGAAGGGAGCGAATGGCTGAAACCACTGATTTCCAAGTGTGTAGAGAAGTGAGAGCATTCCAGCACCTGACACGGACTGACGTGTGGAGATGGAAGCGGTGATCTGATCGTGACGCTGTGGACATGGATGGAGTCATCACAGCCTACCTCCAAAAGGTGGACAAGTTCTGGGTCTCAGTGGGTTTTTGTTTTCTGAGACGGGGTCTCCCTCTGTAGTTCAGGCTGGTCTTAAACTCACTATGCGACCCAGGCTGGCTTTGAAGTCACAGTGATCCTCCTGCCCCAGCCTCCCGAGTGCTGGGGTTTCAGGTGTGCACTACCACACCCAGCCATGTCTCAGTCTTTTAAAAATTTAAAAAACAGAAACGTTTACCTCTAAGATCAAGTGGCAAGTGCTCTTGTGTACTTAGGAAGCCCGATAGCCTCCCCTGCCCCTGGTACTGGGGAGCAGTCCTGGGGCTCTCTACCACCAACTATATACCAGCCCTTCTTACTTTCATTCCGAGACAGAGTTCGGCTAAGGTACCGAGGCTGTCCTTGAACTTGTGGTTATCGTGCCTCAGCCGCCCAGGTAGCTTGTACCACAATGCTTGGCTGAAATGGTTTATTTTGTTTTTAGATTGGCAGTGTCAGAAATTACCACTTTGTGCCAGGCGTGGTGGCTCATGCCTGTAAGTTCAGCACTAGGGAGGCTGAAGCAGGAGAATCATTGCGAGTTTGAGACCAGCCTGGGCTACAAAGTGAGCTCAAGGCCAGCCTGAACTGCATAGAGAGACCTTGTCTCAAAAAAATAAATAAGTAAATCACCGCTTTGCCTGCCCCAGGCCCACTGGCTCCCTCTCTGCAGGTGCAAGGCCAAGGCCTTGAGGGCTCCCTGGCGCCCTGCACCTCGCCCACGAAGGGCCCTGGAAGTGCCTTCTGCTGCAGCATGTGGAAAGCCCCAAGGGGCATCAGATTGATACCCTGCAGCATGGCAAAGTCGCCAGTTGCTCATGAAGACAAGGGACAGAGGAGGCAGCAACACAGAGGAAAATGAGACAAACACCAACAAATGAAATGTGGGGTACCTTGTTCTTAGCCAGCTCCTTTTCCAAAGCACACTTCTCTTGTGCTATTTCTTTTTCTGTCTTGCTAGCCTGCCCAAGGGAGGGAAAAAGAAATGGGTCAGTTCCCAGCAGCTGACAAGTGCCCCCGAGCACACTCAGCACCCACATTGTGCCCAGCAGGCACGAAGGGGCCACACAAACAGCCCTGCAGCTGGAAAGACGCCTCCACACGTCAGCTCCTTCCTAGCTAGGAAGGCAGGGCTGCACCCCTCACCCCCAGTTCTCCCCTCTGAAGAGGATGTCAACTTCTACAGTGTGACCTGCACTGACAGAGGAGGTGCGGATCACTCGCTGACCTCACCAGTGCCGTGGAAGTGTGCACTGCTCTGTCACAGGCTGCTGCCCATGCTCAAAGGGACACGTTAGTCACCTAGGGTTCTTCACAGGAAACTCAGACAGACTGCGTCTGATTTAACTTCCGCTCTTGGAACTGCTAAGACCACAGTTGAAAGCCCGCAGGACGCGGCAGTGTGGTCTGCGTCCACCCACCTCTCTCTGGAACCTTTCGTTCTCCTCCAGCAGGGCCGCCTTCTCCTGCTCCAGCGCTTCCAGCTCACCTCGAAGCCTTGCGATCGTGGATTCCAGAAGCTCCTTCTGCGCGGCCATCCTTTTCTCAGCATCCTGGGCTTTCTGCACACACTGGTTATGCTCGAGGGTTAAATGGTTCCTTCAGGCAGGGAGTCAGGAAACATGAAAGCCAAGAGAGCTCGCGGTTAGCAGGAGGAGTGATTGAACGTTGCACAGAACACATGACCGACTCCTACTGAGAACAGCTATAAATGTGCTACCCAGCTAGCTCCTTGAAGGCAAAACCTTTACCTTTGTAGCTGGCCTAGCCAAGGTGGAATAAATGTTTTCACGAAAGATGAGAAGTACAAACGCAAGAACAAAAGATGCATACAAAGTGGCCGTGATCTACTCACAGGTGAGCCTGGAGTTGAGTTTTCTCCTTCTGAACGCTCTGCAGCTCGCTTGTGATGCTGGCCTGGGCTGCGTCCAGCAGGAGGCTTTGCTCTTGAAAAGTCTGAGTCATCATTTTCTGCTCTACCTGAGAGTGCGAGGGGTGACAGTGAAAGCTGAGAAGCCACGTGATACGGTGTTACTGAGTGACCCACCAAAGGCGTGACCTCACTTACAAAACACCTGTGTTAGTTCTGCAAATAGAATTTTTAAGTTTATTTTAATATCAAGCTTTCTCTTTGTTTCAGCCTAAAGTGACTCCAATTGTATCATTTTATAGTTCCGTTGGCCAACAGTCAGGTATTATTTACCCAGGCTGCTAAAAATGTTGTAAAGCTCCTAATACAAATATATTTTTAAAGATTAAAAATTTTATTAAAAAGGTTGAGATTTAGCTCAGCAGCATAAGCATCTGCCTGGCAAGTGCAAGGTCATGAGTCTGATCCCTGGTATCAAAAAACAATTATGTTAATATATTTGGAGGGTTGAGGATTTAGCTCAGTAGTGTAAGCACCTGCATGGACATCGCCAGACAGCAAGTTCAATCCCCGGTACCAAAAAAAGAAGAATATTTTTGGTGTATTAAAATTTCAATATGGTCATGGTTTTTTTTTTTTTTTTTTTTTTTTTAACCTTTTGAGGGGGTACTGGGACTTGAACTCATGACCTTCTTACTGAGTTAAACCTCTAGTCCTTTTTTATTGCTTGAGATAACATTTTTATATATTCATACTTACTTATGATCTTAAAAGTTTTTGCAAACATATATATAGTTATTTTTGCAAAAATATTTTTAAAAGTTTCTATTTTAATGATATTTGATGGTAAAACAAAGCTTCACTCCTTTACACTTGATAAAATGGGTTACCACTTGTGTTTCATCTCAAAAATTTGGCATATTTGTGACAGTATTACATATGTTACATTGTACTTTACAGCCATTAAAGTAAGGATTTTTGTCTCATTCATATCTCTATCTAGATCTAGCATCACATTTGGACAGAATAAACAGGGTTTTTGGGGGGTTTTTTTGGTACCAAGGATCGAACTCACAACTGTGTACTTGCAAGGTAGGCATTTATGCTGCTGAGCTAAATCCCCAGCCCAAACAGTTTTAAGTTAATGAAAAGCATTGAGTATTTTAATGCACAGAACACATTTAGTGCTGTGGGGAAATAACACGTACAAAGGCAGTAACTTCGCTTCTAGCACTCCACAGTTTAAGACAGGAAATAAATCATGAACATCAGTTCTTACTAGAGAATGCACAATAGGGGCGGGACAATGTAATGATGAAGCCCCTGGTTCTGAGGTCAGACCTAAGCTTATTTTTGTCTTGTTTCATCTTTTGAGCTGGGGTCAGCGTGTTGCCCCAGCTGCTCCTGAACTCCTGAGCTCAGGGCTCCACCTGACTCAGGCCTCTGGGCGCTTATCACCACACTGGCTCAGACCTAGATGCGACCCAGCTCTCACCTCACTAGTTAGCTAGCTTAAGTTAGCAGTCACCTCCGGACTGCATTTCTCTTATTTGGTAAAAAGAGGACAGTAAATATTCTTCCACGCAGCAGGTGTTAGGGTTAATGCGTTCACCATGGAGCTGCAATTCCTACGTCTCACTGCCAGGTGGCGATGGGACAGTTGTGTGTGTCCCGCAGCGGTTCAAGCCGGCGCCATGTTACAGGAGGTTAACATCTCTAAAATCCTTAGCACAATGGGTGGTACGTGCTAAAACAGTAAACACAGAGCTGTTATTAGCGCAGTTTAGTGTCCAAGGAATAGGACTCAAGAAGGGACACAGCCCTGATGGCGGGGCGGATCAAGCTCTCGATCCAAGTCAGTCTCATGGAGCTTTGGAAGAGCTGAAGATGAAAGTGGAAGTGGCCTCACACAGAGACCAGCATGAGCAAAATGGGAACCCCTACGGCGTCTGGGGGGCTGGCACTGCCCAGGCGTCGGGAGAAGGGGCTCTGTAAACACGGCAGGTAGTGACTCTTCCCGGGGGAGTGCTGAGAAGAAACCATTAAACAGCAGTGAGCACAGGCCAGATAAACCCCATGATGACAAGTGAAGACTCCTAGTCCAAAAATAGAACAACTCGGTGAAGTTTTGGAATCTGCTCTGGACATGTTTTAGTTACCCAGCTGGCTGTGCACATTTCCTGACCCCCAGCCGGCCTGGCTGCCTGCTGCCCCTGTCCCAGGTCCAACAGTGCTTAGTGAATACCTGCAGCATGGCCTGGTGGTCAGCGATGAGGTTGGCCTTCTCCACACTGGCAGCCTGCAGCATGTCACTTAGCTCGGAGCACTTCCTAGTCAGCTGGTCTTTCAAAACCTAAAACAACATTCACAGCAAATCAAGGGTCTTGCTGAGGACTTAAACATCACTGGCTGTAACATTTGGAAAGTATATCACTATGTATGTAAAGCTAATTTAATCTATGCTCAATTCATATTTCAGTGCTGTCAATGTTTGGAGTATCATAAAAAGTTATAAATTAAAAGGATATATTTCTTGATTAGGGGCACAACAGGGGGCATTTGGCATTTCATTGACCGGTTTGTTCATCACAATTTTGAACACAGGTCAATCAAAACAAGACATTTGTGGAATGGAATTTACAAGGTGGGCGTCAACTCTCACCACTCCTGTTCAATATAATACTCAAAATTTTAGCCAGAGCAATCAGATAAGACAAACAAATAAAAGTGATATGAACAGGAAAGGAGGAGTCAAATTTATAGACAATAGAATACTTCACATAAAGACCACCCAGATTCCACTGGAAGACTCTTAGATCTGATAAACTCAGTCAAGTAGCCAGATTACAAAAACCAAAACTCAAAAATCAATAGTGTTCCTCTATACCAATAATGATCCCACTGAGAAGGAAATCAGGGGAACAATTAAATTTTAAAAAGTTCAATTGGAAATTGGTCTAACCAAAGTGGTAGAAAGACTACCATAATGTAAACTATAGAACTCTGAAGAAAGAGATTGAATAGGACATCAGAAAACAGAAAGACACCCCCGCCTCTGGATAGGCAGAACCAGTATCATTAAAATGGCCTTATTACCAAAAGCAATAGATAGACTTAAAGGTCCTTATTAAAAATACCAACTTTTTCAGAGAACTGGAAAAAATATTGTAAAACTGATACAGAACCAGAAGAGACTTGGAATAGCCAAAGCAATCCTGAGCAAAAGCAAAGATTTCAGGTTATACAAGCAACAGTAACAAAGATAGTACGGCACAGGCACAAAAATACATGTGTAGACCAATGGGGCAGAATAAAAGACAGAAATAACCTCATACACTTTTAGCCATCTGATTTTTGACAAAGAGGTTAAACACATAAAGAGCCTCTTCTGCAAAAGGTGCTGGGCAAACTGATTATCCACAGGCAGGAGATTGAAACTAGGTCCTTACATTGAACTCCATACTAAAATCTCATCAATAAATCAGAGACCTAGACATGTAAAAGCAAACTTTGAAATTGTTGGAAGACAACACAAGGGAAACACTGGAGAAAACAGGGATAGGCCAAGACTTCCTGAACAAACTCTGATAGCATAGGAAATATCAAGAATCCACAAATGAGATTACATCAAATTAAAAAGTTCACGCAGCACAGGAAGTGCTCGAGACAATTTACAAAATGGGTAAGTTCTCCAACTGTTCCTTCAGTAGAACCAGTATGTGTCCAGCAGAACTCAGAAAGTTAAACCCCCCAAAACAAAATGACCCAATCGAAAAATGGGTAAACTATATAGATGCTTAAAAGAGGTAGTGAAATTGGCCGATATGTATGCAAAAAAGCGTCCGCCATCTTCAGTCACTGTGGAAATGCAGGTCAGAACAGCTCAGAGACTCCATCCTACCCAGTCAGAATGGCTTTTCAAGAGCCAAAACCCTAGTGCTGGTGAGAAGATGGGAGCGAAGGAACTCTCCTAAACTGCTGTGAGAATGCAAACCACTACAACTGGTGTGGATATCAGTCTGGAGATTCTTCAAGAAACTACAAAGAGAAGCTTCATGTAACCCAGCTATGCTTCTTCTAGATATATTTAAAGATTGTGAACTATCGCGACACAGGCACACCCACGTTACAGCAACACAAGCCACAACAGCTTAATTCTGGAGTCAGCCCAAACACCCATCCACAGGAAAATGAATAAAGAAGATACATACACAGTGCCATCCAGTCAAAAAACTTAAATCACACCATCTACACAAAAGTGGATGGAGCTTAAGACTGTATATTACGTGAAGTAAGTCAGACGCAGAAAAATACTTTATAGTTTCTGGTACATAAGAAGCACACAATATGATGATGAGAACAATAAAGGCGGGACTATAGGAAACAGGAAGGCGGGCTGTGCAGAGATGAGAGGGGTTTGGAGGGGAAGGGGTTAGATGCACGCATGTACCAATTCCCCAAAACAAATTTAACTATTATGTATCATAAACATTCACAAGTAGAAAAGTTAAACTCACAGTTATTAATGCAAAGTGCCTAGAACTGTGCCTGAAACTGGAACAACTATAGTAAACATGTTAACTACTATCAGTACAAGCAGTAGTATTAATGTATAACAGGACACATTTATTTTGTATTTTATTACAAAGAAAGCACAGGAAAACTATTATCCTAACAGTGTTGTAATCAAACTGTACCAGCAGGAACGTTATTTTTAAGTGATAAACACCAGGTTACTGGACTGTGTGATATTAACTTCAGTACAGCAACCTATTTGGGGAAAATACATGTACATGCTAATATGAAAGACCAACTAGAGTTGGGAGCCACCATTCCACAGGAAATGATTGCACTTGACTCCAACACCCAGGAAACATGAGATTCCCATTGTGCTATTTGCTATTGAAGACAGAAAAAGGGTATAAGACACAGCCCTTGCTATTGAACTGCTTAGAGTTCATTAGCAGGGGCCAGCAAGGTACATATTTAATGACTAATTACAAAGTAAACAGACACAAGCTGTAACTAGTGCATGGTTTAGTAATGTGTCTCGTACACCATCGTGTCATAGAAACCTGAAGGATGAAATGAGAAACGCACTTAATTTGATAATGTTTCAAAGATGAATTAGATCTTACAGAAAAAAAAAGTTCGATGACAGAGAGAGTATGAGTTTTTATTACTAATAGGGTTAATTTCTTTAACTATAGGAAAGTAATATCTAAAAACCAGAGAAATACTGAAGATTTACCTGTGTTTTTTCTAATGCTTGATGAAGGGATAATATTTCAGACCTCAAAAATGCATTTTCTTCATGTTCTTTGTTGGAAGATATTTGCATATTCTAGTAGGAAAAATAATTATTCTCTTTCCACATGTGTATTATATGTGTCGCCATAAAATACTCATCTATATTCCTGCTGGTACCAGTTCAAGTTCTAATGACATATAGCTGTCTACCTTACAGGAAATTTTAAAAAATCTTAGTTTTTCCCAGATTTCCCAGATTTCTCCTTATTTCTAAATTATCTATAGGAAACAAAAAGATACCACTGTGTGAGGATGTCCAAAATCCCGAGCACTAGCCGCACCAAACAGTGAGAATGCGAGGCCACTCTCATTACTGCTTGGAGGACTGCAAAGTGACAGAGATGCTTGGCATGATAAGCTGGCAGTTTCTAACAGAACTAAAAATGTTAATATCATAACCATGCTCTCTGGTGCTTACCCAAAAGAGCTGAGAACTTATCTCCAACACCCTTCACATAGACATGTATAACAAAGAACTTAAAAGCAATCAAGATGTTCTGAATAAGCCACACCGCAGAATACACCGCAGAACATTCAAACAACGGAATATTCCTGGGCACTAGCCAGGAATGAGCTAGCAGGCTATGAAAAGCTAAAGTTACATAAAAGTAACTGTAATGATTTCTAACTGAGAAAAGCCAGTCTAAGAGGGCCACGTGTACTGTGTGGTGCTAAGCAGAGGGTGCAATGGTGCCCGGGGCTCAGGATGGGGCAGGACAGACAGCAGGGGCCTGAGGGTTCGGGGTGATGAAAGCACTCAAAGGGACACTCCTGTAGTAGCGATGTGTACTTCTGGATCTGGCCCAGCCCAGAGTGGACGGGCACTCCAGGACAGGGGCCAAGGGGAAACGCAGACTCTGAATGAGTGTGTCGCTGTGGGTTCGTGGACCTAGACAGCCACAGTGTCTTCCCACCACGGCCGCCTCACTGGCTAAGCAAACGCTGATGCTGTATTACGTACACGTCTCCCCCATCGGCAGTACGGCCTGGGGTCTCAAACGAGCACGGACGCTGTCTGTCCTGCATGAAGACAGGGCACCTGCGTGGGGCTGAAGAAAGCACCTGTGGCCTTCGGGAAAGAACAAAACCAAACCTGTTCTCTGAGGTAGCCACGGTGGCGCGATGGGGGCTGGGCTTTCTCTAACAGCTGGGTAGGAAGGCGCAAGGACAACGTGAAATCCTCCTCCCACAGAGAAAAGGAGAAGACCACTGCTCCATTTTCCCAGGAGATGCATCTCAAGACAGACAAACATCACACAAGACAGCCTGGGACAGCATCCAGAAAAAGTATTCCACGTGGGACGGTCATATCGAGGTCAAATGTAAAATGCACTGAGATGTAAACGTACTTCTCCGCATACACTTTTTAACCTAAAGCTTTGGCAGCAGTGGTGAGGGAGCCCGGGGCCTTCGCACTACCTCCTCCCTAGCCCTTCTCTAATTTTTAAAATTCTGAGACAGGGCCTCCGTAACTTGCCAAGTTGCCCGTGTTGGGCTCAGACTCCTGCCTCCACTGCCCAGGGCAATGGGACATACGTATGTATTCCTGCCCGTTTCTTAATTTATGGTAAGATAAACACAAGCTGACCATCCTAGCTGTTTTTAAGGGTAAAGTTTAGTGACATGAAACACATTCATAACTGTTGTGCAGCCTCCACCAACAGGGAGTTCTGCATCTTATATTAGGTTAATTTTTTCTTTTAACAAGTAGTTTACGATTGACAAAACACAAATATCTCATTTTTCCTAACTCACTTTTTCAAATTATAATAACCTGCATGAGATGATTAGCTTTTAACATCTAGTATTAGCCTGAGTATAGAAGCTATTTACGCAAAAGTCTTTTCTAAAGCTGTTGAGAGAACAAGGATTATAAACCCACATTAATGAGAAATGAGGCGTAAGAGACAGAAGACTATCTCTGTACTCTAGAACCTGAACACTTACCTTGTTTTCTTCAAGCAACTTGGAAATGAGTTCATCTCTAGAAACTAAAAACAAAAGGTTCACATAACTATGACAAAAATAACTCTACACTGAAATAACATGGTATTTTCCCCCTTGAAGCTTCAATTTTTATAGGCAATGTTTTGTGGGGAAATAGGATGAACCTAGGTATTCTTATAAATGAAAAGCCTATTTTCTTTTCTTTTCTTTTTTTTTTTAGTTTTTTGAGACAGCGTCTTGTCACATAGCCAGGCTGGCCTGAACTCAGAGCAGACCTCCTGCCTCAGCCTACCAAGCACTGGGTTTATAGGTTTACACCACCACACTCAGCTTAGCTCAGGTATTTTCATCACATTTTTATAGATGGGGAGCTAAGTTATGGAATTATCAAGGAAACCAGCTGGCAGCCACTTGCAATGACACCTGAGGTCACGTTCTACTCAGAGTTTAGATGAAGTGTCTCGGGGATGTTCTAACAAACAACAAAGGCAAGGAGATCAATAGGAAACAAACCACTGTGGACAAAGATGACAGGGACAAGGAAGGGGACAGGCCAAGGTGGCACTGAGGGGCAGGACAGGGCCGCTCCTGGTGACGTCAGGAGAGCCTGGGAGGACAACTGTGATGGCGGACCGTGCTTTTAGCACAGAGGACATACAGGGAAGGGGCAGGCCTGGGGTCCCGGGAGTTCTCTGAATACCGTTTTCCTTCTGCGGAGCATCTTAGCGCAGGTGCTGCCCTGGCGGTAACACTGCCTGCAGCGCAGGAGGGTGTGTGCGTGGGGGGCGGGCTGGGAAACCACTCAGGGAATATACGCAGCGCAAGCAAATTAGGCAGGAAGCTGGGGAATCATCCGGCATTGTACACCAGTAGCCAAAAGATGCAAGCTTTCAGGGGCTGGGGATTTAGCTCAGCGGTGGCTCAAGCGCTTGCCTGGTAAGTGCAAGGTCACAAGTTTGAGCCCTGGTACCAAGGAGGAAAAAAAAGATATAAGCTTTCTAAGAGTAACGCTTTAGCTTTACAGAAAAATTCAGACATCTTAGGTTTTTTTCACTTAAGTCTTAAAGCCCAAAAAATATAAAAATCACATCCTTATATAGAATATTCCTTATAAAACTACAGTTTTTTTTTTTTTTTTTTTTTGGTCTTACTTTGTCTTTTTGAGACAGAGTTTCACTCTGCAGCTAAGGTTGGCTTTGAGCTCACTTTGTAGCCCAGGCTGGTCTCAAACTTGCAACCACCCTCCTGCCTCAGTGCTGGGTTACAGGCGTGAGCCACCACACCCAGCTAAAACTATAGTTTCTGAACACAGGAACCCATGACTCATTAAACTCTAATTTAAAATGTGTAAAGGGGCTGGGGACTTAGCTCAGTGGCGTAAGTGCCTGCCTGGCAAGCACAAGATTGTGAGTTGGATTCCCAGTACCAAAAAAATAAAAATAAATAAAATAAAATGTGTAAAGGATCAAAAAGAAAAGCATATATCCTAATCAAAGAAAAAGGGATATTTATGTTGAAAAACAATTTAGTCACTTTAATACATATGTACATAGATATTTATTGCTAATATACTTAATAAAAACCACTTTTTCAATTGACTGAAGAAAATATTTAAACGCATTCTTTTTATTAATCTAGTTAGAATGACTATAAAATAATAAAATGACATATATGAAGATCTGTAATTCAATGCTAAGCATGTTGCTGGTATTCTGACCATCTTTCTTTACCTGTTATGTTGAGTTACTACTGTCTTTTTTCTTTTTATTGGTACTGGGGATCGAACTCATGACTGCCTGCTTTACAAGGCAGGCGCTTATGCCGCTGAGCTAAATCCCCAGCCCCTAGTTACTACTGTCTTAATCTTCGCTCTTCATGGCTCCCACATGTTCTTTATAGAATTCACACATAAAGCATTCATCCAACGAGAAAGGAACATGACAAGCTCAGTAGGGAAGTCCACCATACAACAGACAGAGGCGTGTGTCTGAGCCACTGTTCGGCCTGCCGTGGGCCTGCCACTGCCCAAAGCCTCATGGGGTCACAGGTGGGCCTGTCAGAGGTGGCTGGATCTTTAGTGTGTGATTACGCAGCCACGGCCTGGTGTGGCACAGTGTGGGTGTGGATAAGGAGCAAGCCCGCCCGGTGTGGGCGCTGCCAGCCCGAAGGGCAGGTGGCCTGCAGGGAATAAAAGTGGCAGAAGAGGCTGCTGTCCTCCTCACTGTCTGCCGCCGTTTCACGGCTATGGCTTTGCTGCCTGCTGCCCTCCCTTCCATGTCGTGGGCTGCTTCTCCTCCACGACGCCCTCTGCCACGCAGCCCTGCCTGGAACCAGCCAACGATGCACAAGACCTCTACAAACTGTAAGCAATAACCTTTCCTCCTCTAACTGAGTGTCGGGTATTTTGTCTCAGCAGTGAGAAGGTAACTGGGACAGGATCACTGGGCACAGCCCACGTGCATCGCTGAGTTCTTCTGCACAGTGGGCTCATCATCTTCTCTTCCTGAGAAGCAAGATTCCAGGGAAGGGCTGTAGTGCTTTTGCAGGCTCATAATAATCAGGTGACAGAAAGTCACCTTGGGCCACTGTCAGTGAAAATGTCAACAGTAACTCACCACTCACTGAGTACGCTTTCCTCTACACTCTGTATACAGTGCTTTTCACTTCCCTCTTGGATTCCCTGCCCCATCACAAAGTAGAGATAGTGAAGTAAAAAACCGCGGGCGTGGAGTTAGCACATCCAGGGTTAGGCTCCCTCTGCCATTCCTTCCCCATGTAACTGCATGGCTATGGAGCCCGGAGTGTTATGGGAAACCTCTGTGTATATCATGCAGTGTTTATTACATAACCCTGGAATCTCTGCAGCTGACATCACCTTAAAACTGCTTTAAGAGACATATTAAACAGTGGTAAGATAAAGGGCTGATGGGTTAGGAGCATCTTGACCCAGACCTGATCCCGGCTCCTTACTGCTGTGAGTCTCAGGACTCATCCATCTGTAAAATGGGGCAGTGAGTCCACGCACTCATTACGGCCCCCTGACCTACCATCTTCACAAGTAGAATTAAAACACACTGATGACCTGAAGAATGGAGAGTCTGACATGACAACAGAATCAGTAAGTTAACAAGAGTTAACAGGTTTATTCCCTCATTGGTTTCTGATGATCCAATATTCAACTAGATGTCTAGAGCTCAATGTTCCCAGTCCACACTTCAATAAGCGTGGGAGGAGGGGCTAAGATAGTTTACAATTAAGAGGGTCCACTGTGTTTTATACCAACATTCATTTCTGTTTCAGCCTTACAGTCAGAATGGACTAACATCAGCTATTTTCTACATCGGGACTGGAGAAAATACCAAGAACTTAGGCCCTGAAGAGTGTCTGCATGAAGTCTCAGAGTACTAGCGAAAGTGTGCTTTATAGGGGCTGGGGTTTTAGCTCAGCGGCATAAGCGTCTGCCTTGCAAGCAGGCAGTCGTGAGTTCGATCCCTGGTACTGATAAAAATGAAAAAGACAAAAAAAAAAAAAAAAAAAAAAAGAAAGAAAGAAAGTGTGCTTTCCAGCAGCTACGCTCTTACTCAGGTCGGCCTTGAGCTGTGCAGCAGCGGTCTCCAGCTCCCCCTTTTTCTGCTGCTCCTGAGCCAGTAGTTCTTGGTTGGTCTGTATAGAGCTGCGTAAGGCCAGGCAGTTTTGCTGCAAAATGTGTACCTGAAATTGTACAAGAAAAACTCCTTTTCTGTAAGGTAAGATTTGTGATGAGTGGCCTTATAGATTTTCTCAACTGCACAGTCAAAATCTCACCAGAAGGCAGTGGGTCACAGCAGGGGTCTGCACACCTGAGCACAACAGTCACAAGCCACCCTACGATGCCATGCGTGCGGGAAATGGAGCCCACTCACTGAGGATCTAAATCTGTGCTTTTAATTTTAACTAACTTACAGTGAACTTAATTGAAGTCGGTTTTTTCCTGATTACTTTGCTTATTAATATTCTGTGTCTCACGAGTTAGTTCAGTTTAGTGTTCTCTATTTTGTGGAACAGAAATCAAACTCAGGACATTGCGCTTGCCAGGCAGGCGCTTGTGCCACTGAGCTATATCCCTGACTAGTCCTCTCCTATATTGCATTAAATTTTTAAAAATTATATAGGGGTGTTATAGGTTACTAGAGAAAAGTACTTAATCTAACGAGAATTAGCAAAATGCTAAGCTTAAAGCTACACTACCAGTTTTCGTTTTTGATTTGACTTCTCTAACATAAACAAGGAGAGGACATCTACCTGCTTCCGTTCCACCTCCACCGCGGATCCCATCTCTTGTATCCTGTGGAGCATAGCCGATCCCGATTTTTCAAGAGATTCCCTGAAGTGCTTCTCCTGAGCCAGCTGTCTCCTGAGCTATAGAGTAACACCGTAGTTAGGTGAGACAGGTGAAATCTTCCCGTGTAACAAAGATCAAAGTCACCGTGCAGAGTCTGCCAGGACAGGCTACCTCCCTCCGCAGCTCTCTGTTCACTTACGGCTGCCCAAGGACACGACCCATTCTTCCCCAGGGATACAGTTGGATTTGTGCCTTCGTCTTTCTTAAGTTTAAGTCTGCTTCCCAAGTTTGGGGGTAAGACCTACTAGAAAGCTGCAAGCAGCACTCAGAAAAAGGAAGAGTAGAGAAGCACAGAAAGGGCCCAGCGCGTACTAAGTAGGAAAGGAAAGCACTGCTATGTGAAATGTTTGCCAATATACACGTCACACACGTAGTGTGTGCTGCAGTGTAAGATACAAACCCTACAATGGGCTGTCATTACAAAGTTAGAAAGACACTAACTAGTTTTATGTCTTAGTGGGTGTTTTCCATATTTCTGTATTTTCTGGCTTTATTTTCAACTCCTGTTTTTTTATATTTGGTTTGCTCTTTGTTTTGATCCTGTAGTCCTATAAACACATCTCTACATGTTCTTACAATTCTGTTAAGGAATTTAAAGTTCTAAACAAGTAATGCAGTGATTCTCCAGCGGACAAAGCTGACACTAGCAAGGATTTTGGGCACTGTGGCACTGTGACACGATAAGCATTACAGATTTGATGTCTGCCCCGCTCCTGGCACAGCTCCCAGACGCAGGGAACCTCCAGGTGAGAAAGTCATTCCCTGAGATGAGCTGACTGGAGGCCCCAGATACTCCAGAGAGCCCCGTCCATGCAAAGACCGAGGCCTGGGGCTTCCAGCCTTGTCACCAGCTCTGCAGAGCCACTGGGGCTAAAGGTCAAGTGGCTCAGCAATGGCCAGTGACACCATCGTGCCTAAGTAAGGAAACCTCCATAAAGCCCGAGAGGACTGGTTCGGAGAGCGTGCCATCAGCTGCACCACGCAGTGCTGGGTGGGTGCTGGGCTGGTGGTGCCAGGAGGGAACGCCATCCCTCTCCCAAGGCTTCGCCCTGAGCCCCTCTCCGCTGGCTGTTCCCCTTATCCTCAGCCACACAGGTCGACTATCTGAAATGCTTAGGACAAAAAGTGCTTCAGGTTTTGGAGGCTTTTGGATGTATTAAGTGCATAGGCTGTGAGTTAAGTATCCTCCAGTGCAGTACCTGGAAACCTGAAACTTTCTGACTACCTCCATAATGCTCAATAAATTTCAGAGTTTGGAGTACTGCAAAGTTTGGACATTCTGATATACCGTGCTCTGCAGGTATCCTTAAAATAAGTGGGCAAATGTAATAAATGGGTACCCTTAAAATAAATCAGTAAATGTAATAAATGAGCAAATGTTTCCCTGGAAACACGAAGGGAGACTTTAGAGATGGGGCAAAGGACTTGGGGAGGGGAGCAGGGAGAAAGGGAGGTGATACGGAGGAAATTAATCTAGCGAAAGATATGCATATACCAGTATACCAACATGAAACGCATTGTTGTGTGTCACTAATATGCACCAAAAAAATCAAATGCAAGGCATCTGCAAAACAATACATTCTCAATGGTATAATTCAGACTAAAATGTATAAAAAACGTGTTGCTGAGTTCTGTGAACCACTCCAGTGAACTGAGCCAAAAGGGGTGGTCATGGGACCCCGACTCACCCCTCAGCTCACAACCTGAGATTGTGGCTGGCGCCTGAAGCGGAGGGTGGGGAGCGGGTTTGTGGGACTAAGCCCTGACTGGGGGCTGACCTTACACCCAGGCAGAGGTGTCGGATTCATTAAGTTACAGGAGACAGGCTCGGCGTGGGGGGAAATCACCACGCACGCGGCCACAGTCGGAGTGAGGCGTGGTGGGTGACGTGGGAAAACCCAGTGCTTCCCTGTGAGTGAAGACACGCCTTCTAGCTTCAAACAGGAGCTGCTGAGCACACTGTTCTCTGGGTGAAGTAATGTTTGCGTGAAAGAAATTGTATTTCTAAAACTCAAGGAAGATGACAGAAGGATGTACTTTATAATTATTGTACATATTTTTAGTATGTGTTTCCTCAGGGTGATACATAAAGAATTTACTAGATTACTGGTACCTCTGAAACACTAATTTTCTTTGCAATATTAACCTTCTATCAATAGTATTGGAATAAATCTTACCAGGACTACATACTATGATTCCCTAAATCATTTCTAATTTTATAAAGGAAAAAGAACACCTTAATATTTCTGTATTTTTTTGTTTCTAGTGAGATTAAACATCTTCTAATATGGTTATTAGCCCTTTTCTTCTTTCTGAATGGTTAATACTTTTATTCCTTACCCACTGTCTTTTAGGTTGCAAAAACCAGTTTTAAATCCTTTAAAGGGGGAAATTATTAACTTTTGCCTACTTTTAAAAATAATACTAGTTTTAGACTTTAAACATAGAAGCCTTAAGTTCTCATGTAGTGAGAGCTATGCAGCTTTATATAATTTTGCTTCTTCAATCTTAGGAATTCCTTTTCTTCCAATGACAAGTATTAGGATTTTATGTAAGAGTGAGTCAGTATTTTCACTGGGGCCATGTTTTTTTCAGGGTTTTGTACCATATTATAATTACTTCCTTTTTAGGGATACTTCAATGCACTTTTCTAAGTCCTGAATCAAGCTATGGAGCAGTAGCGTGTCCTCGAGAGCTTTCCGAGTTCTCACAGACTACCTAGTTTGCACTGTAGTTCACCACCTTTACATGGGTTCAATCTGTAAGTCGGCCACTATCGTCAATATTTCACTGTTTGAATTGCTTATCATTCCTGTGATAGAAGTTTTAAAGGATTCAGCTACTTGTTTAAAATGGTAAGTTGAAGCCTGTGCCTCCTTTATAGATAATTACACACAGACCACGTGTTCACCGAAAGAAGCTTTGATAAATATACTATTGAGGCATTACTCATTTCTAAAGCATTATTAACAGAAGGGCTCTGTGCTTCCTCCACAATTTTTATATAAACCTAAAACTTCTCTAAAAGGTAGTCCACTGAAAAAGAATAAGAGACAGTCCATGAACATATGTGAAATTTTGTTAATGTTCTAAAAGTGAGCGATCATGCTTTTATCCAATCAACAGCAAGTAAATTTCTCTCCATATGAGAATGTTCTAGATACCAGTGTTTACCACCTCACGCACTACAATTATAATCTGAAAAATGTTTTCCTAAGAAATTTCCTAAGGAGCATGCCTGCTGCACTGGCTTACGGACAAGAATCCCTGAGCCCAACGCGATGCTGTGGTTTGGACTGACTGATTCTGCCGGGTGCACTGCAATGAGGGGCCACTGTCACGCCTGTGGACTGAGCAACTGTCCTGACTTGCTTGTACTGCTTCAGCTGCCACTCTTAGCCCAGCAGCTTCATACAGCTCCCACCTCCTGATTCCAAAGCCCCAGCCGAGAGGAAAACTCCAGATAAAAGGGGCTGAGCACTTTACTAAATGCCTCCTACACAGACTCTGACCAAGGGGCCCACTTGATTTTCCTGAGCTCTCCTGCTCAGTCCCCATCCAGTACCATTTCACACAAGCAAGAACAGCTGGACGTGACGACGACTCCCTGCTGGCTCTGAGCACATTTCTTTCTAGTTTTAAGGCAATATTCAGGAAAAAGGGATCTCTGAGGTAACGCAAGGCCCGGGACTCTCTCTCGAATCCTGTGTGTCGTGATTTAGTCTCCCTAATACACAGTCATGTATCCTTCCTTCAAAGAACTCCCTGGTTCTCCCTTTCTAGCTCCTTATTTCTTGTCTTCAGTCTGACAGCCGTCGACCCTCTAGCATTCTTTCGTCTTACCTCCTGAATTTTAAGGTTCATTTTACGTTTTGTGGTCTTTAGCTCCTCTTCAATAATAGCTGCATTTTTCTAAAAGCAGAAAGAGAATAAGTTCTAAATAACCTAAAACAACAGGAAGAAATTGTCTAGGTGTATCAGTTCAAATCTAGACTTTCTTTTGTCAACCTACAAAAGCTGGTGTTTGGGGCTGGGGAAGGGGGATACAGGGAATTGAACTCAGAACCTTGCGCTTGCCAGGCAGGCAAAAAGCTGTGTTCATACAGTTATAAATATTTCTTATTATTGTAAGTTTGAAGTAACTACTACAATGAGATGGTTTTAAAGAGTCATTTTATGTCTTTAGTGGCTGCTATCATTTCACTTTTGGAACACAAATTGTAATTAATCAAATCCGCTCCCCATGCCAAGTTTAGTAATAAACAGAAGATAAGGTGGTGAACACTAGATACGTTTCTTACAGGGTACATTCCTGTTTTTTTAAAAGAACTGCTTCTTCTAGCTTCAACTATTATTTATGCTGAGGTGCTGAGGACAAAACCCAGCTTTCCTTCCCTCTTCTCTCTCTTATTATTAATGACACCACAATCCCAGACATCAGCCCACAGCACTGCTCTCCGAGTCTCAGTCCCCATCCGGTACCATCGCGTGTAGCAGCTTTCCCGTAACACAGCCCTCTCCTTCCAGAACACTGCAAGGCCACCAGGCGGCACGTCGCTCTCACGGCTCAGGCACACGTCTGCGCCCCACCACCTGAGCCCTCTCTTCCCGACAGCGCTCGGCCACGCCACCATCTTGTCTTTCCCCACACGGTCCTATTCTGTCTCTTCTACATCAGAAACCTGCTCACTCCACGTCGGAAAAGCCCTGCTACGATCATTCTTGATTTTCTGAGTCTCTTCAATGGATCCCTCGCTAGTGTCCTACCTGCCTCCTATAAACCAACTCCTGCTCATGTCGGACTGCTTTACACATTCCATACCCAGTGGAAAAACTAAGGCTCAGGCCCGGGTTACAGGGAGAGCACAGGTGGCCGTCTCTTGGACACACGGTGTCGCTCATGGCTCCAGTTGTGGACTGTTAAAAACCAATCACTCACATTACCACAACAGCCTACCTCAGAAGGCCTTGCAAAGTAACAGGGCCTGCCTGGTCAGGGAGAGCTCTTCTCCCAGTAGGCCCCATTTTCTGCTGCCTCTCTGGTGCTCCTTGAAATGTCCTTCTCGTTCCACTTTACTACCTAAATGTCCAGGTCAAGTCCCACCTCCGTCCTGTCGCCTGCCTGCCCACCACAGAGGGCGGCCTCCTCACCCCGCAACCGCCCGAACACAGAGCCTTATTCTGCAATGCTTGCTTCCCGGCCTCCCCTCCCGTAGCATTTTCTATGCTCTTTTCCTGCTTATCCACACAGCATACAAGCTCTTAAGAGAATCTGGCCTCTGCCTCGTATGTCTGGACGCTCCCTGTCCCTTGTCCCAGGGAAGGGCACTAAACAATGACAGTTCACAGTGCTGCACGTTATCAATGCAGAGAGACGTCCAGTGCCAGGAACCCTTGCTTCACGGCCACCTATTTCTGAAGGCCAGCAGTACAGGTTTACTGCCCTCTCCAGCTGGCACCCAACAGCAAGCCTGTACTTTAGAATCTGACTCAAACCTTGGTCTCCGAGGCGATCTCCAGAGTGGCGGTCAGCCTCTGCACCTTGTCTTGCGCCTTGTCCTCCTCCTCCTTCACATCTCTCAGCTGCTGGCGCAAGTTCATCACTTCAAGATGCAACAGCTTCAAATCTTTGGAATGCTCCTCCTGGATTACATTCAGCCGATCCTTCAGTATAGCTACCAGAGCACCGCAGGGCATCGGGCAGGAGGAGGAGGAGAGCAAAGGGCAAAGTTATAAACTCGTCAAGCATCACACAGGGCCACACTTCCGGTGACTCTTCTCTCCCTGTACCTGTTTTCTGTGGATTCAAATCCTTTTCCGTTTGCAGGCGAATGATGTTCATCTTCAAGGACTGGATGAGGCTTTCCAGATGGCACATCCGATTTACGAGAAACTCACAGTTCTTCCACAGGACATTTGTCTTTGCTGGACAGAGCACTTCACTCTGTTTGGGACTAACAACTTTCTGGTTGGCAGGGTCTTCAAAAGAGTTCGGAGTTTCCAGCAGACTTCTGGACAAGGATCCCAATAAAATAGTGTTACGTGTTGCCATCTGTACTGAGGTGACCCCAACCCGAGTCCACGCAGCCTTTCTGATAAAAATTATTTGACAGCTGCATCACAAGGTAGAAGAGGCTCACTCTCCATCTGCCCCCAGATGCACTGAGTAAACACCCACACACAAATCAGTTTCCCTGCGAGAAGGCCAGAGATGAATTGAGAAGCACATGGTGATTGAAAAACTGTGCACATCAACTGGGCTCAGAGTTCCTGGTTTCTCCCCGGAAGGAACCTGCCAGAGTGCTCTGTCTGCTGCTGCTGTAGACAGCTTCAGTCATCAGCAGAGCGAGCAGGCGAAAGGGCCTGGGGTGGAGGTGGGGGCTGCTCTGACCTCTGTAGGATGACAGAGGTCCAAGTCTGCTGGATCAGTCCACTTCCTGGTCAGGGTAGTCAGAAGCTCAACTGCCAGCAGAAAAAGCATTTGACCAAATCCAACATCCTTTCAAGATAAAAGCTCTCCACAAATTACAAAGAATGTTCCTCAACACAATAAAGGCCGCATGTGAAAAGCCCTCAGAGGACACACTTCACGGTGCCAGGTTGAAAGCTTTTGCTCTAAGATCAGGAACAAGACAAAAGTGCCTGTTCTCTTTACTATTCACCAGTGCTGAAAGTCCCAGCCACGGAATTAGGCAAGAAAAAGAATTGAAAGACATTCAGATCAGGAAGGAAGAAGTGCAACTGCCTCATTTTGCTATGATATGCTGTTTTGTTTTGTTTTATTTTGGCTTTGATTTCACGAGACACAGTCTTGCCATGTAGTCCAGGCCAGCCTTGAACTCACTATGTAGCCCAGGCTGGCCTCAAACTCACAGCAATCCGCCTGCTTCAGCCTCCCAAGTGCTGGTATTATAGGCCTGTGTCACCATCCCTGGCTTCTAAGATATGATATTATATGCAGAAAACACTGAAGACACCACCAAAGAACTAATAAATTCAGTAAAGATGCAATATAAAACATTAACATACAAAACTCAGTTGCATTTCTATACATCAACATTAAACTACCTGAAAAACAATTCCTGAAAAACCAGGAAAACAATTCCCACATGCTACAGAATCAAAAACAAACAGGAATAAATTTAACCAAGGAGATAAACAATCTCTTCTCTAAAACTACAGAACCCTAACAAAAGATTTAAAGATGACACAAATAAGTGGAAAGACATCCCAATATCACGAGTGGGAAGAGCTAACACTGTTAAACTACCCATGCTACCCAACCAATGTATTGTCAAAGCAATCCCTATCCAAATTTTAATAGCATTTTGCACAGATTAAAAACATCCCTAAAATTCATATAGATAACAAAAGATCCCCAACAGCCAAAACAGTTGAGAGCAAAAACACCTACCAAAGTTCCAGCTATAGCACAAAGCTATTGTAGTCAAAATAGCATGGCATAAAAAGACACATCAACTGGTGGAAGAGGACAGCCAGCCAGAAATAAGCCTATGTGCTTACATTCAATTGATTTTCAACAAAGCTGCGAGAATACACAGTGGGGAATGGACAGTCTCTTCATTAAATGGTGTTAGGGACACCGATTATCCATATGCAAAGTGACTGGACCCATATACAAGAGTCAACTCAAAACTGATCAGAGACCCAAACATAGGACCTGAAGCTACCAGGGAAAAATATAAGGAAGAAGCTCTTTGAATTTAGGCTTAGCAATGACTCCTTGGGTATGATCCCAAAGCATAAGCTACCAAAGCAAAGCAGACAGGCAGACACTACATCAAACTAAAGTTGTGCACAGCCAAGGAAAGAACAGAGTGAAAAAGACAACCACACGCTGGGAGGAGACTCTGCACACTGTGACGCTCCCTTCCCTCCCTCACCTTCGCCTCCTCCCTCCCTCCTTCCCATTCCCCCACCCCTCCTTTCTTCTTCCTTCATTCCTCTACTCCTGCCGTCCTCTGCAGTCCTGGGACAGAACCAGGACCTCATGCGCGGTGGGCAAACACTCTTACTGAGCTCCATCCCTAGTTCCTGGGTCTGAAGTTTTTTTTTATTGCAATAGAGGAAGAAGTTCTACCATCCACTGGGCAACACACTGACTATAATTAGTAATTAGATGCTGTGTGTGATATTTTTAAATTGCAAAAGGAGTAATTTTAAATGTTTTTACCACAGAAATGAGTATGTGAGGTGTGAGTAGATATGTTAATTCTCCTGACTTAATCATTCCACCAGGTGTATGTGTATCATGATGTCCGTGTACCCCACTGTGGCCAGGGCTTAGGATTTTCTATTGCCTCAGCATTCACTTTATTGTTTGGTACTTTTTGAGACAGGGTCTTTACTATGTAGCTCAGGTAGGCCTTGACCTCATGATGATCCTCCTGCCTTAGCCTCCTGAGCGCTGAAATTTCAGGTGCTTGCTACCATGCCTGGCGTACCAAATCTAATCTTTAAATGCTAAAGAGTTATTTATTTTGTAGTTTAATAACAACTATGTACTATATTATGCCTTAATGAAGTATTCAAGAAATTAACTTTTTTAAAAAAAATGCACCAATACATTCCATATCAACGCTTAAGCCCCCAGATTCCTGAGGCCACAGATCACCCAACTTTTAAAGCCAACAGCTCTTCAGCAGTACTGAGGGAAGCAACAGTTCTTTTCTGAGTACCTCATCCCAGTTGGGGAATCTTTAAAGATCTGAAGCCTGTCTTTTAACTTACAATAAATACGGGAGAAAAAAGTGAAGACCAAATGAATGGCATGAAGCAATGCTTTAGACGTTCCCCTTAATTGATTTTAAAATAAGAACTAAAATTTTTTAATTACATGAAAAACTAGCTGTTTTTCAGCGCCATGTTGAAGGTGACCGGAACACTTACCTCATGCCAAGTACTGTGCGGAGGGACAGTGGCAGTCAGCGTCACAGGAGCGAGTCTCCGGCTCGCAGGGCTTTTCTCACCATGTCAGGCGGCCCCGCCACCCTCAGGGCCCTCCCACACCCATCTCTTGCCGACCACTGTGCGCCTCATCACTAAGCAGTGCGGCAGAGTTCTCCAGGGACACAGACCCAGTCCACTCTGCTGTGCTACCTTTTGTCCCCGCCGTCCAGCATGATTAGGTCGTCCCTCAGGGAACTGGTCTGTTCCTCCACTACTCGCATCCTCTGCTGAAGCACTGTGAATGTTCCGGAAGCCGTGGTGGTGTTGATGTGGGTCGGAGAGACCACTGGTCTACACGCTGCAGTGTCCATGTGCACCTGCGATTAAACCACATCTCAGTGACCGGGGAGGGCAGTCGCCGCCTGATGACCCACCACTGTCCCGCCGAGCTCGGGCATGGCCGCGTCTCCTACTTTGGTGGGCAGAGGCATTAAGAACCAGTTTGTTGTTCACCACCTCTCTTTCCCCTCTGCCTTGATGAGCAACATCCTGGACAGGTCTGCTCCCTGTGCGAGGGTCCTGGAGTAAAGATGACATGGACAGGACCTGTGACCTGTGTCACACAGTGTGAGTGAGCAGCCAGCCATCAGCCTGAGACTGCTGAGTGCTTGGCTATTGCATCATAATCTAGTCTACCCTATTGCTCCTGTTAGTCACATACAAGGAGTGCTGACTTAGCCAAGGGAGTTATTTTCACCTCTTGATAACTAGGTTATTTTCAGCTAACCTTTGTGAAAGAGGCCTATGCTTAGATCTCTGAAGAGATGCTGTAAAATAACCCATTTTCCAACTTAACATTCTACATTGAAGCAGCAATTAAAAAACAATTTACAGCCTTAACTTCACAGCAGAAACGAAGATCTTCCTCAGCCAGTGACATGAGATTTCCCGGCTCCACCCCCAAATCTCAGGGAAACCAAGTGAGAGATCCGAAGATGGCTGTCACCAGAGGGCCACTAGTGTTGCCTGGAGCACATCTGTCCACAGGACCAAACAGACACCATGTTCTGCTGGTGTACCCGAGGACAGTGACAAGAGCGAAGCGGAGATGGCGGCGAGGCTGCAGGGACACACAGTGAACCCACACAGAGGGAACTAGCATGCAGCGCTGCCGGGCTGCTCCTCAGGCGGACCAACCCTGAATCGGGGGACTGCAGAGAGTGGGGAAGGTTGGTTAGGAGAGGCCCCTGCCCCTGAGGGAAGCTCGGAGGACACTCATTACCACACTGCCCCAAAGAGAGAGCCAGCCTAGGCTACGCCCTCCCCAGCCCAGTCCTCCCCAAGGCTGTCTGTGACCCTGCCCGTGCCCACTAGGGTCCTGCCCTGGCACCTCAGCCACCCTGGCTGTGCACACTGGTTTGGTGGCCCCAACTGCTGGCTGCGTCACAAACCTGGGAGTAACTGGCGGCCTACCCAGGCCCTGGCAGCACCCAGGCAGAAGGTGACACCCTCTCAGCTTCCCAAAGCCACAAGCAGCAGCCACGCAGCTCTGCTTATTGGCCCTGGGTCCAAGGCAGCAGCAGGGCAGCGCACCCTGGGGAAGGCGGTCTCCTGAGGCCCTCAGGAGGGAGCTGCACAACCCTCAGACGCTGAGGGCAGCCTGGCCCCACGCAGTCCTCAGCTACTGACGGTCAGTGCACCCAGGGCCTTCCAGAGCAACACCACCCCTGTGCAGCACTTGGCAAGACAATTCCACAAACTCAGCAGCACAGGCCACTGAGGTAGCACAGGACAGAGATGCCCACAGGCAGTGCCCAAATTGGTTGGTTAGATGGTTGGCGCATATGCATATATATATATATATATATATATCCAGGTCCAGGAAACTATAAGGATCTCAAATACATTCAGCAATGTAATTGCTGAAATGCACTGAACTGCATTCCTTTCTAAAGCATATTATAGTCAGTCTATCAAAAATATAAGAAAAATGAATTTTAAAAATACCAAGGGAATAATATCAAACCACATGAAAGGAAATTCCCAATGGACTAATAGTAGATTTCTCAGCAGAAGCTTTAGAGGTTGGAACGGAATGATATATTCAAAGACCTGAAGGTGGGGGACAGGAAACCCTGTCAAATACAAATAGCATACCCACAGGAGTTATTCTTCAGAAATGAAGGAGAAATAAAGTCTTTCTCACAAGCAGAAACTTAGGCAATTGACTACTACCTAATCATTATTACAAAAAATGCAAGGAAGTCCTGCACTAGCAGCAAAAAGGTGGTAAAGGATAAAAGTCACCAGCAGACACACAAGAGAGAAAATCATCAAACTTTATACAGAAAACTGGCAAAACACAGAGACGAAAGGAAGAAAGGTGCACAAGACAAAAACTAGCTGTACAGCAGGAGTGGCTCCTTGCTTATCAATAACTTTAGGGGTAAATGGATTTAATTCTCCAACTAAGTGATTTAAATTGAGTAAAAGGATTTTAAAAATGAGATCAATAATATATTGTCTGGATTTTCACCAGTAAAAGAAACATACAGACTGAAAGTGAAGAAATACAAAAAGGCATTTCATGCAAATGTAAACCAAACTTGCAAGGGGAGCTATATTTACATCACATAAAATAGGCTGAATTGAAGACTGCATGCCAAGGAATGCAAAGGCACTGAACCTAATCTAGGCACATTACCAGACCATAGTGCAATGAAACTGGGCCTCAGTGGAAAAGAAACCACAAAAACGGCGTAAACATATGAAAACAAAGTAATGACCTCCTAAGAACCAATGGATCACAGGTGAAATAAAAGAAGACATTAGACAGTTTCTACCATTAAATGATAATGTCAATACAACATACTGGAACTTAGGGGATGCAATGAAAGCAGTCCTATGAGGAAAATTCATATTGAATTCCCACATCAAAAAAACAGAGCAGTCCCAGAAATTCAGCACAAGAACATAATACTAAAGGCTGTTAGGAAAAAGAAACATCATCTATAAAGGAAAACCTGTACGAACCATGATAGACTTCTCAACACAAATCATGAAGTCAAGAAGAGCTGACGGTCAAGTGTTTCACATCTTGAAAGAAAACAACCTGCAAAACTATCTTTCAAAATTAATGGAGAAATTGATGCACCCAGATTGAGATACCCTGTAAAACTATCTTTCAAAATTAATAGAGATAAGATACTTCCATGATAAAGAAGAGCTGAAGAGATTCAAGACCACCAAACCAACCCTACAAAGAGTTCTAAAGGATATGCTAGAGAGAGATAAAGATGACCACGGTTTCAGGAATAGTAGCAGAGGCGGATCAGCGAGCAGGGCAGGCAACGGAATGGAGCAGAAAAGTGGGGGACCAATGGCAGAAGGATAGCACGGCAGAGACGAGTCAATGCATGCTGACTATAATCATTAACATAGATCACAAGTTACTGATAAAAAAACAGGGTGGACTGGGAGACAGGACTTTATCAATATGCTGTTCATAAGAAATACATTTAACTCAAAAGAAAATCCATGGACTAAAGGTTGAAAGAGAAAAGACAATGCTCCATGCAACAGGGGCCCATAAAAAAGTTGGGGTAGCTTTCCCATCAATTGCAGAATGGACAAGATATGGTATTTTTGTACAATGGAAAACTACTCAGCTATAAAGAAGGATGACCTCAAGGGCCTTACAGGTAAATGGATGTAACCTGAGATCATGTTCATGGGTGAAATGGTTCAGATTCATATGGGTGAACGTCGTGCTGTCTCCCTGGCATAAAAAACCTGAAGGAGTCAGTGGAATCCAAAATGTACAATAGATACTAGAAAGGGAAAGAGGAGGAAACATCTAAAAAGGGAAGGTGGTAGTCATTGTTATTTTTCTATTAACTGGATTTGAAGTCCTATAATGTTTTCACTGGGTTTTTTTGTTTCTTTGCTTGTTTGATTCTATTATTATGTCTGAAGGTATGGGCAGTTATTTTGAAGATAACATGATATATTATGGCAGTCACTGTCAATTTCCTAATATCTTGTTTTGAATTCCTGTATCACTTCGCTTTATTTTGATTGGTTTAATTCTGTTCCATTTTGTTTGATTTTATTATGTCTGATGCTATAGGCAGCTATTTTGAACATAACAAGAGGCATTATAGTAGCCATTGTTGATTTATTATTTTGAGGTTCTGTATCATTTTCATTGCTTTTTTCTTTTAAAAACAAAACAACAACAAAAATAATAAAAACTATGATGTGAAATTCCAAAGCAAAATAAAACTAACACTAGTTAATATATTGCACATTGTTATCTTCAAAATAGTTGTTCAAATTACAAGATTTAGGCATGAAAAAAATGATCAATCAAACATCGAAAGCACAAACTGTTCTTTTTGATGAACAGAGATTAGTAGTACAGTATATATATATAAAATATTTTCCCTTCTTTCTTTTCTCCTTTCCCCTATCCCAATTCATTGTTTTGCTTTGATTGACTTTATTCAATTTTGTTTGGTTTTATTCTCTTTAAAATCAAATTTAAAAAAAGAAAAAAAGAAAAACAGAGCAAACTCAAATAAATAGCCCAATGTTGAACCTTGATTTTCTAGAAAAAGAAGAGCAAGTTAACAAGGGAGGAAATTATAAAGATTAGAGCAGATATTAATGCAATTCAAATTAAATATAAGGAATCAACGAAGAGTTGGTTCTTTGAAAGATTAACTAAAATAGACAAACTTAACTAACCTTATCAAAAAAAGGAAAGAAAAGACTCAGATCCATGCAATTAGGAATGAAACAGGTAAAATCACAATACATCCTTCAGAATTCCAGAAGACCATCAGTACCTACTTTGAAAACCTGTGTTCTAAAAGATGGAAAATGCAGAAAAAATGAAAAGACTCCCTGAATCATATGAATTACCAAAGCTGAATGAAGACAATATAAAAATTCTAAATAACCCAGTATCAGTCAGTGAAAGTGAAGAAGTAATTTTAAAAAATAATCCACAAAGAAAAGCCTAGGTCCTCACAGATTCACTACTGAATGCTATCAGCAATTTTGAGAAGACCTAATGCTACTACTCCTGAAACTCTTTAACAGAATTGAAAGGGAAGCAATACTCCCAAACTCATTCCTAGAAGCAACCATTACCCTGTTATCAAAACCAGAGAAGAATCCAGCCAAAAAAGAACTATGGGCCAATCTCTCTAATGAATGTAAATACAAAAATCCTTAATACGATACAGGGAAAGAGAATGCAGCAAATCATCAAGAAGATTATATACCATGACCAAGCAGCTGGAGGATTACACACCAGGCCTCCCAGTGAGGCAGGGATAATTCAATATATTCAAATCAATAAATGTAACACACCACAGTAACAAGGACAAAAACCACATCTCAACAGATGCAGAAAAAGTTTTTGACAAAGCCTTACACCTATTTATGATTTTTTAAAAAGCCCATAGAAAACTAGAATCGATGGTCTTTATGTCAATCTGATAAAAGCCATCTATGACAAAGCAATAGCCAACATCATACTACATGGACAAAAACTGAAAGCTTTGAACCTAAAATCTGAAACAAGACAAGGATGTTCACTATCAGCACTATTTAATATAGTTCAATTAGACAAGTGAAAGAAGTAGAAGGAATAAGATAGGAAGGGAAGAAGTTAAATTACTATTTGTAGATGACATGATGCTCTACATACAAGAATCCAAAAATTCCATAAGACAGCTAGATTTAATAACCAAATTCAGTAGCATAGAAGGATAAAGCTCAACATTCAAAATCAATAGCATTCCTATGTACAAGTAACAAACTTACTGGGAGAGAAATTAGGGAAACAACATTTTGCACAATAGCATCAAGAAAAATGCAATATTTAGCAATCAATAATAAAATAATAGATCTTTACATTGCAAACTATAGTACTCTGAAAAAGGAG